ACGTAGATAACCTCCTAATAATAGGGCCTAATAGAGGTATAATAAATAGTCTGCTTAAAAAAGTAGTAGATTATATAAAGGTTTAGCCTCTAGGTAAACTAAAAGACTTCTTAGGAATATATATAATTATAAACTAGAGTAGAAAGGAGATATTTATATCCTAGGAAAAATATACTCGTAATAAAATACGAGAATATAATAAAGAAGACTTAGGGACTTTTAATACGCCTACTATAGTAGGAGTAAAGCTTAAAAAAGCTACTATAACGCCTTCGCAAAAGGAAATCCTTATTTACTAAAGAGAAATAGGGGCTCTATTATATCTAGCTATAATAAGCAGGCTAGACATTTTATATACTGTTATTTCCTACGCTAGATTTGCTTCTAAACTAGATAACACGTATTTTAAAGCGTTAAATACTATCTAGAAATATTTAAATAAATACCCTAACCTAGGGATAATTTATTACTATAATATCCCTTATACTTATAATTTTATAAAAGGTTATTCCGACGCTAGCTAGGCGTCTAACCTTATAGATAGAAAATCCGTTTCTAGATACTGTTTTTATATTTATAAAAATATTATAAGTTAGGCTAGCTAGAAGCAAAAATCTATAGCCCTATTAACCTACGAAGCTGAATTTATTGCCCTTAGGGAGGCTAATAAAGAAGCTTTATACCTAAATCGGCTATTTTATTCTATAAATAATAGCTTGTCTATTAGAATTCCTAATACTATACCTCTTATCTTAACGGATAACGAGGCAGCTATTAAATTAGCTAAAAATCCGGAATTTTATAAAAAGATAAAGTATATAGATATTGCCTACTTCTATACCTAAGAAAATATTAGGGAAAAGAAGATCCGGATTTTCTATATTAAATCCAAAGATAATATTGCCGATATATTTACTAAGGAACTAAGAAGAGAAAAATTCTTTAAGTTCCGAGAGCTTCTTTCCCTTAAGGAATTAAAAGAGCCTTAAAAAGAAAAGCTTATATACCCTTAATAGAGGTTTTTTAGCTATCTTTTACTTTCTTAGCTTTTCCTCTATATATAACTAATAGGTTTTTCCTTTAAAAAGGTTTCCTATTAATAAAAAACAACTTATAAAAATAGGGTTTTTCCTTATTAAAAGGTTTCCTATAATAATAACTTTATAAGGCTTTTTCCTTATAAAGGTTTACCTAAAAAGAGGAGAAATAATTATAACTATAACTAGGATTTTTCCTACTAAGGTTTTTCCTAGAAAGGGTTTTAAAATTTTTCCCTTATATTCCTATTATATACCTTATTTTTAATAAGGATAATTCTACTATAAAAGAAATAACTAGTAAAGAGCACTATTTACTTAGTACTCTTTAAGGGAGGCTATAAGAATATACCCTTATATTCCTATTTTACTATTATAAAGAAATAATAGGCATAGGGAGGCTTTATAGAATAAGCTAGTAAAAAGAGGCTCTATAATACAGTCTAAGGGAATAACCCTTAAAAGACAAAGACTTCTACTAGACATCTATACCTTCCTCTAGGAAAGGCGGGTTAGGATAAGCCTATCCTTACAAATAAAAATATACATAAAAAGCATAAGTTAATTATAAGTAGAACGGATACCCTATTGCCTATTTTAGCCTAGCGGTTCCGAAGATATCCGCGATACGAGAATAAGTAGGGCATAGAACATTCTAGTTAAATCCACTACTTATACTAGAACCTATAGTTTTACGTTAACCATCACGCTATAATTAGACCACCTACTAGGTTAGGAAGATATACTATAGATAGAACTTTTTAAGTACTATAGAATATGCTAGAAAGCTAACTAATTAGTCTACTAGTAGGCGAGCAATAGTCTATAAAAGACGAAGGATTTCCCTAGGAGTAGTAGATAGAATAAGTAAGTTCGTATATATCTTTTGCAACGCTATTCTTTTAATATATTATTCGGCCCCTTATATGCTCGTTATAAACTCCGGATAAAATCCTACCCTATACTCCTTCGACCGATCTTTCCGCTTACGTTATCGATTACCCGATTCTATGCTTATTGCTTATACCTTCTTACACTTATAGGATAGGATATCGTTTCTAGACTATACTTATAAGAGCGTACGCCGCGCCGTTAAGTCCAGTGCTTAACGCTTTAATTTAAAGCTAAAGCTAAATATATAAGTAGCTGACTATTATATCGACCTATAAAGGCATCTACGTTAATAAGGGAGACTATAAGTACTAGGCGCGCTATATATTATAAAAGCTAAGGAGAAGGATAAACCGCTAGAGCTAGATAAATAAAACAAGCTTTAAGGGAAGCTAGTCTAGCTCGTTTATAACTCTAGTATTATAGGCTACCTAGGTCGGTAGGGTATAGTAGTAGGCCTTATAAGGGATTTCTACTAGCCCCTCTTATAGTATTACGTTCGCCGCTTCCTCTATAACTATAATATCTATAGCTATACTAAGATTTAAAGGGTATAGCTTAAGGGGCTACTTAAGTAGCTTCTAGTACCTAACTAGTTCTATATATATACATAGATAGACTTTATAATAGACCTTTTACTTATAGAGGGCGGTAACCGCTATATATAAGTAATTAAAGACCGACTTAGTAAGTTTATAGTATTAAAGCTAATACTATTTATAGATATAGAGTCCTATATAGAGCGCTTCTTATAGTACTAGGCCTACTTATATAGCTAGCTAGCCTTTATTATAAGTAATAAGGGATCGAATTAAACTAGCCGCTTTTAGTAGTACTTATACTAGCTACTTTAAATTATATAGCTACTTAGTATAGTATATTACTTATAGACTAATAGAAAGCCTAAGAGGGTTAACTAAGAGGTATAAGCTTACTTATAGGCTATTATAGCCTATAACTAAGTAGACTAAGACTAGTAGCTCCCCGCGGCCTAACTTACGTTAAATAGTAGACTATATACCTTTATTAAGATAGCCCCTTTCTTTATAACGTATAGCTTTAAACTACCCTTACTAGTTCCCTTTACTATAGATATAGTAATAAAGTAGTATAGTAATTCGTTATTAAAGGGCTACTCCTCTATATTTATATAAAAGCTATAAGAGACTATAGATTATTATTAATTTATAATAGCCGCCGCGGTATAAGATTAAGAGTAGTACGCTAATAAGATTAAGGCCCTAGTAAATAGGTTTATAGTAAGAGATAAGGTATAGCTAGACCTCTATAAATATAGGTTAGTATAGCTAAAGAAGAAGCTTAACTAGCTATACGCGAAGTTTATAATATAGAGGGTTATTAGCCTATAGGTTATAGAGCTTAATAGTTTCTTAATAAGGGTCTATAATAAGATTAATATAGACCTCTTTTATAAAGCTTCCTTTAACCTACTACTTAAAAAAGAAGTAGTAGATACCTAACTACCTATAATTAAAGTAAAGGGGGAGGATAAGTTTAAGGTTAAAGAGATATAAGCTATATACTAGAAAAAGGTTAGTAAAGGGAAACGCTAAGAGGTCCTCGTTAAGTAACGCGGGTATCTTAACCTTATATAAGAACCTATATATAAATTTATAAGAACTATAGCCCTTAATAAGTTTAAAGCCTTATTTAAAATAATAAATAAGAATAATAGATTAATAGACTACTAATAGTAGCTTAGGCTAAGACTATAAAGTAAGTAAAGTAAAGTAAGTAGTTATAATAATATAAGTATAATAATATAAGTAGAGATAAAAATAGCGTTTATTTTAAGGTAAAGCCCTTAAACTACCTAGACCTACTTTTTATCTTTATTATTATCTTTATCCTTATCCTTATTATCCTCCTTTACCTTATTAATAGCGGCGGCGCTCTTTAAGGCGCTTAAGCGGCCTTCTAAGCCCGCGAGCTAGTTAGCGGCAGCGGTAGCTTTAAGGGCTCTAGGGGTAAGGGGGGCCTAGCTAGTAGTAGTAGTAGGGGCAGCGGCGGGCATAGCTAAGGGGACTACTAATAAAGTAACGAAGGTAGTATCCCTAGTACTAAGAGAGTTAATAGCGGAAGTAAAAGAGCTAAAGGAGAGGAACTTACTTAAGGATAAGGCCCTAGCGCTTAAGGGCGCGGAGATTATAGTAGGCGGCGGTAGCGGTAGTAAGGCGCTTCTTAGTAGCCCCCTATACCTACCTATATACGCTAGCCTTTTAAGCTAACGCCGTAGCGAGTAAGATAGGAGGCGCCGCCTTATAAGCGCAGCCGGCACGCGCGTACTAGTAATAACTACCGCTACAGCAGCGCCTAACTTAGTCGGTATAAGGGAGCTCCTATAACGCGTACTATATATAGGGGGCCGCGTAGGCGGCTTTAGCCTATACTTAGCGTTTATACTTTAAGAAGTTAGTAAAAAATAGCTACTACGCTTACTAGGTAGCGGACTTATAAGGGTAGTAGAGGTGGAGGTAGGGGTAAAGGGGCCGGGCGTTATAGCCGGCGGCGGGAACGGCATCGTTATTAAGAAGGCCGACGTAAGGGCGGCTAGCGTAGTAGAGGTAGAGGCGGCGGCGGTAGGCGCGGTTGCGGGGGCGCGGGTAGGAGTAGCGGTAACGGCGGAGCCGTCGTTAGCCGTGCTTAGTACGGCGTCGATAAATAACTCTATATACTCTAAGAAAGAGAAAGTAAGGGAGGGGGAAGTAAATATATTTATCTCGGAAGTTAGTATTATAGATTATAGCCTCCTACTCTATAAGGTAGAGAACTTATTAGTTAAAGTTATTATTATTAAGACTATTATTACTACTATAGCTATTATAGGATAGAAATTACGTAATATATTACGTAATATCTTTCCCTTATATAGATCGTCTAGCCGAGAGAAGGAGAGATTCTCTTTTTTTCTCCCTCTTTATCTAACTATAGTAGCTCTTTAGCTACGTTTTCCTTATATCTCGTACCGTCTCCCTCTATATCTCTCTTTCTTCTACCTCGAGCCCCCTGCCTAGGCCGACCTTTCCGCCCTACCTAGCTATTATATAATAAATGGTAGCAATTCCGTCGTTATCTCTCGATCTTAAAAGCAACCATATAAGCACACCAAGCTATCTTTACCGGTAGCCAATCCGGAAGAACACCAGCAGCTAGGCACCAAGCCAAGAGAGGCACCAAGCCATAAGAGCAGCAACCAAGGCACCAAGTGCAACCATCGCTTATTAGACCGACGAGGCCGACCCCCTTTGCAATAGACTTCTCCCTCCTTAGCCGAGAAGAGCAGCAAAGGCTCTATAAGATATACCAAGAAGACCAGCTCCGAAGAACCTGCCGAGAATGCGGAATCCTCTTCCCAACGAAGAACCAGCTATTTACGCATCTTCAGACACATCGTCTTCCTGCCCGTGCCGGCAGCAGCAACCTTCCTGCCCGCGGCAGCAGTTATCGTCTTCCCGCCCGTGCCGGCAGCAGCAACCTTCCTGCCCGCGGTAGCAGTTATCGTCTTCCTGCCCGTGCCGGCAGCAGCAACCTTCCTGCCCGCAGCAGCAGTTATCTTCCTACCCGTGGCGGCACTAAGAAACGCGGCAGCCACCCCCCTGCCCGAGTCAACACCGCCCGGACCGTCGCAGACTATCAAGACCGTGCCTTACGGCTAGCTTCTGATTGGCTAACTAACCCGGACCACCGAGACTCTGATACCGGGCCGGACTATGAGACCGACCTAGTCCCCGACGGGCTAGTCCCTAACGACCCGGACTACGAGACCGAGCTAGCCCCCGACCTAGGCTCCGAGACCGAGCTAGCCCCTGACCTAGGCTACGAGACGGATCTAGCCCCTAACTGCTTAGACCCGTACGACCTAGACTGCCCGGTTTACCCGTATGCCGAGGAAGCCGACGAGGAAGCCGACGAGGAAGCCGACGAGGAAGCCGTCGAGGAAGCCGTCGAGGAAGCCGACGAGGAAGCCGTCGAGGAAGCCGACGAGGAAGCCGTCGAGGAAGCCGACGAGGAAGCCGACGAGGAAGCCGAAGAATATTCCGACGAAGAAGTAGGGTATTCCGACGAGGACTACGTAATATCTTTCCCTTATATAGATCGTCTAGCCAAGAGAAGGAGAGATTCTCTTCTTTTCTCCCTCTTTATCTAACTATAGTCGCTCTTTAGCTGCGTTTTCCTTATATCTCGTGCCGTCTCCCTCTATATCTTTCTTTCTTCTACCTCGAGCCCCCTGCCTAGGCCGACCTTTCCGCCCTACCTAGCTATTATATAATAATAGCTATTACTATAAGTATATATTAATAAAGCGGCCTATATAGCTAAGAATAAACTAACGCCTTAGGTAGAGCGGAACTTACTTATTACTATTACTACTATAGTTAAAGAAGGAGAAGAAAGAAAGGAAGGAGGAAAGGGGGGATACTACTTTATATACCCCTAGGTAGAGGAAGCTGCTTAAGGCTAAGGGGATAAGTAACCTAAGGCTTATATAGGTCTAGGCCGGCCGCTAGCTACCTAGGGGTATATATAATAGGTTATGCCTATATTTAAACGGCTAGCTAGCTAATAAGTATAAAGCCCGGTTCTAGCTACCTAGGCTAATAAGTATAGGGATAATAGGGCTAGTAGGGCTAGTATAATTAACGGGAAAGGGTAAGGTAAAGCTAGTAGTATAGGCCTAATAGTATAAAAGCTATTAATTAGTAACGCCGCGCTACGCTTAAGGGAGGGTATTATATAAGAGTCTTTAACTATTATAGTTATAAGGCTATAGCCTAAGCTATATAGTTATATACGGAGGGCCGGATCCTATATATATATATATAGGCTAGCTATATATAGGAGAGCTCTATATAGCTTATTAATATTATCTTATAGACGGCACCTACGTATACGCCTCTACCTACTTTATAATAAGTAGTCCTCTTAGGTATATAACTACTATACTATAAGGGTTTATAATATATATAAGATATCCTCTTTTACCTTTAAGAGCTTCTACCTCCTTATTTATAAAAAGGTCTTTTTAAAGGGCCCTTAAGCTTATAGTTAAGTAGTATAGTATAATTTAAACGAACCTATAAATAAAGAAGCTAGTAAAGCTATTAAGCTACTACCCTTATAGCTTTACTATAAGTATAGGCTTATCGTACTAGTATATTATCTTTTAACGGCTTAAAGAGATAAAGCTAGCGTTATAACTTAATAACTTTAACCCCTTTTAATACGTATAGGCGCTATAAGTTATTTTAACTAGCTTTATAGCGCCCTACGAGCCGCTCGTTATATAAGGTAAAGGTAGGCCTAAAAGCGCCCTTAATCTTAAGAAAATATATAGTATAAGGCGAGACCCGTCGGTATATAAAATCGTAGAAAGTATCGAACGTAGTAAGGCTATAAGGCCGCCGCCGCCGCTATATTTAATAGCGCCGCTAGTACTAATAACTACTAAAGAGTTAGCCGCTATAGTAATAAAGCGAGGGCTACGATACCTTTAAGAATACGGCGATATGTATAAGCCGGGCATATACTTATAGCGGGCCTATTAATAGGCTACTTACCGTACGCTAGTCTCTAACGATAAGCTTACCGGCGATCCTTAAGTCAGCTCGTTATAATACTAGCCGGCAAACTATATATAGGAAGAAATATAAGTCGCGATGCCCTTATAGGCGCCTTTATACGCGCCCTTATAAGAGCCCTTATAGGAGTTTATATAAGACGAGATCTACGTTATAATGCCCTTATACGAGCTAGCTATATAGTAAGATAAGGTTAAGGAAGACGACTAAGATAAAGGAGAGGTATAGTAAGATTTATATAAGGAGGGCCTATATTAAAGACGTTACTATTATAATACCGCTAAGCGCTTAATTAACTATTTCCTATATATTATAATAACCTTACTTTCCTTAGTATAAGCGGCTCTTATTATAATATATAAGGTAGGCGCAGGGAATATATACACTTAAATTTACGGTATCGGCGTTATGCCTTAACTAGCTATACTACCTACTTTTTCTATATATCGAATAGCTAGAGCTATATACCGGTTAAGTTAGCTTACCTACTTAAGGGCATACCTACTTAAGGGCACGTCTTATATAACTAAGACAGTATATCCTAATAGTAATTAAAGCCGCGTTTTTATATCGCAATACTTAATTATAGTGTTTTCCTACTATTCTAGCTACTAGCTTCTATATAGAGCTTTAAAATCTGCCTTTTAATTAGCTAGTATAACGGTAGACGGCTTAAGGGCGCGTTAAAGCTATTTCCTTATCTTAATAACTTATTTAATCTATATAAACCGGCTATTTAGATCTTAGGCGATTTTTCGTTGCTTTTAAAGCTATAGACAATATAATTAATGCTTAAACTATTATATATATAGCTATACCGTTATAAGCTACGTATTCTAATAATTAAGGCTATAGCTAACTTTGCTAAAAAGCACACGGATTATACGGTTAACTTAACCGCGATTTTCGAGCCCCCTTATAAGCCTACGGACTTCCTATAATCGTCTTAGTGTTTTAAGGGCATTGCTATTATCTATTAAGCTTAAATTCTTCTTCTTCTTTAGTAGTAACGGCGTTAACGGCGTAGGTAAGATAAAGCGGCTTATTAATAGATTTACTATATTAACTAGCTAAAGTCCTATCCCTCGCTACCCCCCTTTAATATTTTTCTCGGTTAGGCCGGCCTACTAGGCCTAATAATAGTAGCGAAGGAAAAGTGCCTTACTAATTAGTGCTATATCGTCGAGAGAAGCGATTTTTTAGAGTTAACGTCGGTAGGCAGCTTTAATCGGCGAAAAAATCGAGATATCGAGAGGTTAAAGGACGTGCGAGGCATATAAAGGTAGGAAAAGGAGATATATACTATATAGGAAGCATTTATATATAAAATCGTTAGTCTAATAGCTTCTATAGCTATCTATAATTAAGAGGACGTTGCCTTATAGCTAGCTTCTTATTTATAGGATAAAGACCTACTTAAGCTATTAAATCGTAATAGAGTCGCTCGTCTAGCCCTTTAAAGAGGCTATAAAGTCCTAATCCTTTAGAAAGTTAAGTTCTTTAAGGAACTATTAGTATTAAAGGTCCTAACCTTTAAAGATTATAAGAGAAGTTAAGGCCTAGCTAGTAGTAGAGACGTATTCTACTATTATAGTCTAATAACGCAACCTAAGCCGCTTCTTAAGCGTCTCCTTCTTCTCTAAGCTCCCTAGTATAAGGCCGTTATAGCCGAGGCCTTCGAGGATACCTATCTCGTTTATATTAAAGCGTAATTCCGAGGGAATAGCCTATAAAGCCGGGAGCTTAAGTAACTAGAACTACTCCTTAATCCGGGTATAGGGCTTAATACGAGCAGAATCGAGAGCTTTACCTTTAATCGTGCTAACCTCTAGATTTTAGGCTAAAAGCCTACTACCTAGTATTTTCTAAGTAGGCGGTATCGCCTATAGCCGTGATAATATGGCCGCGAATTCCTTAGCTAGAGATACGTTAGGGAGCCTGCGCTTAGCAAGAACCTAATCTCGGAGGTATTTCTCTTACTCTCGGCTAAGCCTCTAATAGTATTCGTATGCCTCTCTCTCCGGTTAGGCACCTTTAAGGCGTTTCTAAAGTATCGTCCTTAGAATACCCTACTTCCGACTAGCCTATACCTAACTTATGCCGAATTTAATATTAGCTAGAGCGTTCTAAAGCTAATCTTCGGTATATTTAGAAAGCTAAGATATTGCTAATTCGAATAAAGTTTTTTTAATAATAATTAAGTATAAGATACACGAGAATTCGCGGTTGTAATATACGAGTTAGTCGGCGCGTTGGTGTTATGGAGACGTGCCCTTAAGTGGGTGTGCCCCCAAGTGGGTGAGCTGACTTAATAGTCAGGGCCTTGTTATAAGTCTCGTCCTACTGACAGGTGTGATTATTCGAATGTCATTATCGGAAGATTGACGGCCCGATGACCAATTCATGGTAAGGCGCTTCCACGAGCCTATGATATCTCTCCGGGCCCCGAGGCTGAATTTAGGTGGAGAATTCTGGGTACCAATTGCACCGGCAGCCTTTTCTGCCCTTGCTCACCAACTTCGTACAGGTTGCATGCATGCAGCTGCTGGAAAGAGATCTCTGTCTCCCGGCACCAAAAGCTGTCTCCGTCTCGCGCACAATGTCGCCATGTAGGGCCGTGGCGCGGCCGCTCATCAGGAAATTTCAGCAGCAATGCACGTTGCGGCACTTTACCGCCGGCGCCGTTCGCGCCGCCCAAGTTGATGAGCAGCAGCAACAGCAGCAGCAACAGCCGCCGCCGCCAGCAACGCAGACGGAGCCCACGAGCGAGCCCGCCGCCGCCGATCTCGACCCCAACACCGTCATGCCCGAGTTCGAGGCTCAGCTGATCAAGGCCGGCATCATGCCCATCGGCTCGCGACGCCGGCGCGTAGCCATGCGCACCACCGACAGCATCCCCTTTGAGCAGCTGCCCTACCAGGCGTTCCAGGAGGCGCGCAAGATCCTCGCAGCAGACCGGGAGGACAAGCTGGCCAAGATCAGGTCCGAGCTGGACAAGATTGCACGGCTGGAGCGCAAGGACCCGGCCGACATCAAGGGCGGGCAGCCAATCAAGGACATTAGGCTCGCCGGCCTGCGGAAAGAGGTGACGCGGCTCAAGATCTTGGCCGATGTCAATGACCCGTTGGTCAAGAAGCGCTTCGAGGATGGACTGGGTGAGACTCGCTGCCACGCTGAACCAACCCACCCCGAAGCTGACAATTGGCAACAGGCGACATGAACAAACCCATCTACCGCTACTACGCCGAGAAGAAGTGGCGCTCCTACGACAACCGCCTCATCACCCAGCGCATCAAGCAGTTCAACATTGTTCCCGATGTGCTCCCCAAGCTGGAGACCACGGCTGACGTCCAGCTCTACTTCCGCCAGCTCAAGATTCCCCCCGGCCAGATTGTCGACAGCGCCATCAGCGAGAACCCGCCGCGGCTGCGCGTGCAGGTCTTTGATAAGGGAGAGCGCCTCGTAACCGTTGTCGTCATCGACGCCGACGTACCCGACGTGGCCAACGACGGCTTTACCAAGCGCTGCCACTTCCTGGCCGCCAACGTCCCGCTGAGCCCCGTCGTCACGTCGATTCCCCTGAGCCGCATCAAAGCAGACGACCAGCTGGCGGTGCCGTGGCTGCCTGCCTTTTCCCAAAAGGGCGCTCCCTACCATCGCCTGGGCATCTACCTGCTCGAGCAGAAGCCCGGGGAGAAGCTTGACGTGGCCCTGATGAGGCGCCTCTACTCGAAGCGCGACGGCGTCTCGCTCAAGTCGCTCCGTGACAAGTTTGGACTCACGCCCTTTGGCTTCAACATGTTCCGCTCCGTGTGGGACGAAAACACGGCCGCCGTCATGACCCGCCAACACGCGCCCGGTGCCAACGTCGAGCTGCGCCGCACGCGCATCTACAGCCTCAAGCCGCCCGTCAAGGCCCGCGGCTGGGAAGCCAAGCGCCAGGGCCCCAAGTACCGTCACCTCTGGAAGTACACGAAGCGCATCCGTGGCCTGTCCAACGCTCGTGGGTGGACCAAGAGGCGGTAGGACAAGCGGATTTGGGGAGGATGCGGGCCGCGGCCCACGTGTCTTGCGCATGGTGTATAATACGCGTGCACATTCCACCAGACTCGAATGCGGCGGTCCTCTAGTCGGCGCGAGTCGTCAAGTCGTCAGTCTCATTAGCATCTATCTCTGGTACCTTGAATGGGAGAAAATCAATCAAGAGGATGTCCCCTTTCCCAGTACCTGCCCACCAGCACAAGCCGTATCGCAGGCCGTAATGCTCCAGAATCGCCGGGGCGAGTCCCGCCTTGAGGCCGCGAAGCAGATATCTTTCCTTCACCCTGTCCCGGCGTCTCTCTCGCTTCCACGGTCTCCTATGTCGTCTTGTTTCCTCGCCTCTTTTCCCCTCACAGTCCGCAGCAAAGGACAAAGGCGGAAAGCCAGGGTCGCATCTGGCCTTTAACCGCCCCCCTCTCCTTTTACAGTGCGTTCATTTCATTCTCTCGCTTTTCAACTCCATCGCCCCCCTCCTGGGTAATGCTAATAGGGACTCGGATCATTCCTCGTGGCTCGGATGAGCACAGAATGGGGAGGTCGCTAGCCGGCGTCGGCAAACATGTCGTCGGGCATGTAGTCGAAGTTTATCAAGTCGGCCTTTAGTCCCGGCGGCGACAGCTGCGTGTCTTCCGTGGGCGCCGTCGTCGAGGACTGCGCAACCGACTCTGTTTGACCCGGGACAGATGAGGCGCCTCGGTCAGTAAGCCGGGGATACATGTAGAGGGGCAGCATTTCTCCTTGGCATACCGTTTTGACTGTTCAGCGAGGCCAGGCTGGCAATGCTCGAGTGCCGGCTCTCGATACCGCCAGCGGCGGCCTGCTGGTGGCGGCGGTTGGAGCGGCGGACAAAGCGCACCGCCTCGCTCTCGATCCACATGTCAATGTTGCGGTCGTTGCAGACGGCGTGGGCCATGAGCGACGTCTTGATCTGCGTCGCCTCGTCGAGTAGGCCGCTATACTCGCGCTGCAGGCTGGCGTGCCGGCTCTCGAGCTCGTCCTTTGTCGCCTCGAGCTCGTGCACCCACTGCTTCTTCTTTTCGCGACACTTGGACGCGGCGATGCGGTTGCGCTCTAGGCACCGGCTGCGCTTGGCGTCTTGCTTGGGCTTACGCCCGCCGCTAGTCGCCGCCGTCTCCGATAGGTCCGTCTTGGACCTCGTCTTTGGCTTCTTCTTCGGAGGCTTCTCGCATTTCGACGGCGGGGGTGAGGATTGTGAGTCGGCCGCGGCCAGGGACACGGCGCTGCCGCTCTTGCCCTTGCCGCTGCCGTCTCTGGGCTTCTTGAGCTTGGTGGCCGATGCGGCCGACGGCGGCGACGAAGGGGTCGTGCGATTCCTCTCTGGCGCGGCAACGAGGGCAGGCGGCGCCGTCGTTGCAGCATCCGACGACATAGCGTCGCCGTAGATGCTGCCGTAGTCGAGCGTGTTGTTGTTGTCGGCGGCGTCGAACATGCGCGGCGTCAGGGCAAACGGGGCGGGCGACTCGGCCTGCTCCTTTTCGTTCTTGATGCCGTACAGCGGCAGGCCCATGCGTGGGTCGAGCACCATGTCCGAGACGAGGCCCATTTGCGTCGCCAGGTCGCCTCCGCCGGCCTGCATGCCCATGTCTAGGCTGCCCATTTCGGCCGCGGCCATGCCGTCTAACTGCTTCTTGCCGGACCTCCTCCCCCCCGTTTCCTAGTTCTGGCCTTCTGCTCGACGCGAGCTTCCGAGGAAGTGGTGAAGAGGGCCGTAGCAAACGGAGGTGAGTCTGGGTTCTTTGTCGCGCATTCGGCTATGGGGGTAGAAGCGCCTAAGAGTCGCGGTCGCGGGTATTGGTGCTGGCGGTGTGTCTGCCTGACTCCAAGACGGGTGAAATCAATGCTCTGATGAGAGTGGCTTGGTGGTGTTGCCCGGTTCTGGAGTGGGGAGCAGGCGATGGCGCGCCGTTGGATGGAGCTCGTTGGCGATGAATCGTGGAGGGGTGGGGGCTTGGTTGAACTATTGCCCTGGCGAGACGAGGAGGAAAAGGGTTAGGGGAGCAATGAATGAGGTCGGGATATCTGGACCGGTGATCACGTCGGAGGCAGGCTGCGACGCCTGGTTTGATAGGGTGGGGGATCAATGAAGAGGGGCTTTGATCCGAGAGGTGAATCATTCGTCTTCACAACCCTGGGAGGGGGAGGCAAGTTGCGAAGATATAAATGCAGTCGCACGAGCACAGGCAAGATGCAGCCGTACGGCACCCTCGCCACATCATGTGTGCGTGTACAGGCTACTACAGCATGCAATCATTGCTGTCTTGGCCGCCGAAAAGGACCAAGAAATGCGGGATTGGGGGTCGGGGCAGAACACGCACACATAGACACATATACGCACACATATACGTTCAGCAGGCGAAACGAGCATTGAGTTAAGTTACCGGGGAGAGAAATGGAGAGAGGAGAGAAGGAGAGGGAGGGAGGAAATGCTCCGCCTGCGCGGTTCAGCAGGCGATGCTCGGCGCGCAGGGATTCCAAGCTGGCCAAAGCTCGTCGCCACACGCTCCCAAAGTGCCGGACACATGAACATGGGGAGACTTCCCTTTCCTTTTGCATGCAGGGATGGGAGGCCCCATGTACCTAGGTACAGATTAATGTAAGTAATGTACATGTTCCATCTCCATCCGTATTGCGTCCATGTTTTGCCTTAAACGGCACATGGGCGACGACCCTCTTGCTCGCGACGACAGCGTGTGCTCTCAGCTCTGCCTTGGTCCCGCGGCCAACGGAGTTATTCGAGTCGAGTGGTTCGTCCCGAAGCTGGCGAGGCACATGCGCCAACATGGATCTACTGTTGCACTCACCGTGGCCGGTTGACGGCACTGTGCTCCATGGGCATCCTCTAGGTAGGTACCTTAGTACGGAGTACAGTGCGCACAGAGCACAGTACGTACAGAAGGCAACTACAGTGCAGCCCAGAGAAGACCGAATGTAATTACAGTACCCACATCTACAGCACATGATGGTTGCTTCTCTGATTCCGGAGCAAACGCCGCGGACACAGATTGGCCCGAAAAGGAAAAGGGACTTGTTGGATGCTTCCGGTGATTGGCCTCGGCTTGCCGGCCGTCTGTACCGTACAGTACGGAGTACCTCGTACATACAGTATGTTATGCATGTCCTCCAAAGACTGATGGACTGTACCACCATGTGTCTCTGGGTCCGTGCATGCAGATTATGACGGACAGCAGCCAACGAGGAGGCGGCCATTCGTCGCCTCGCCCACCCAGCGCTAGTAGTCGATCGTCAGTGGGTTGTACTGTACCGTAGCAAGCAGCGTGGCCGGCGGGAGACCGAGGTTGCGCTTGCAGCTCCTGGGCCGCCGGTGCATGAAGCTATTCAGAAGCTTGGCCCTGTGCACTGCCCGTCGGGGGCATTGTGCGGAGGAGGAGGGAGCGAAGAGGTGAGACGCACGGGATAATGCATGTTTGCAGAATGCCCTTTTCTACTGTACTGTACTGTACTGTATATGCACACACGCACGCATGCAGTACTGTACACACAGGCGGGGCGGATCGGTTGACTGCTCGTCATCCACCACATCAAACCAGCGTCCATATTACCTATTCCAAAGGCAGCCGTGAGAGGGATGCAGTACTTGGTAGAGAGTATCGGATGACCAACTCGACAGGCACGCAAGATGAGATACCGCAGGTGAATGAGGACCCGCCGAGGCCGCGTCGAACGAGGCCGACAGGTCCGAACCAACGAGACCGAGACAGACGACTTTTCCATGGGGGAAGCGCATATACCTACTTCGTAACCGTAACCATGGCTGACTGGGAAGTGTGCATGTTCCAGAGCCATGATTGGAGGTTGGCGATGCTCCTCGTCGATACTGTACTGCACGTCTGCACACTACCGGACACACTCTCTCCCCAGAGCGGGCTGCCCTGCTCTGTCGCCGGCCAGCCCTCCGCGGGCGGCGACCAATCACGTCGGACCAGGCCGGAGGCGCCCGAGGGAGCCAATGAAGATCGACGACTGACAATCGCCGATTTCCGTCTTTGTTCAGGACGTCCAGGACCCAATGCTCCGGGAAAAGAGGGTGCACAGTGCCTGTTGTTGCTGTCGTTGTTGTGTTGTTGTTGTTGTTGTTGTTGTTGTTGTTGTCATGGGAGAGAGTGATGGGATTTCTCGATCGACACCAAAGGCTCACTACCTAACTAGCCTGTCAACTGCCATCGGTGGCTGACGGGGGCATCTCCTTGTTTCTTAATTGTCGCCGCCGCACCGCAAAGTGCAGGCATGGTTACCTGGCATTCTAGCGATGCTCTCCAACGAATGTTGTGCAAGGCATGAGGACATCCGTCGCCAGTCGCGTGACCGAGGGGCACGCCGTTAGTCGGGAACTCCTTCTGGCAGGTCTCGGTACATCGGGCCCAAGGGGGGCAAATGTATCTTCACCACCCGGTCCCGCTTAAAAGAACCTCGCCTCCTCCTAGTGCGGGGTGTATTCAGGTAGAGAGACCCGGTAATCAAGTCTTGCTTAGCCGTCTCAGTTCTATCAATCGACAAGTCACGTGCCCTCGCGACGCTTCCCAATGTCTCGGCTTGAAAGGCGCGTCTCCCATTTCGCGCCAACTCTTCGTCTCCAACAACAGCAGAATTTGCGTCTCCCACGCCCGTCCTCCTCAGCTATTCGCCCGCCGCCATGGCCGAGCAGCAAATGTGCGCCCCCCGCGTCACGACGCAATACCTCGACAGCTTCGTCGGCCGCCTCGTCACCATTGTCGGCAAGGTGACGCAGCTACGCGGCGACCACGCCACCATTGACGGAGACGGCACCGTCACCGTCGTCCTGAACCGGGTGAGCCTCTCTCAATCCTGGTCGGTGTTGACAGCTGCTGACCCCCGGCAGGACGCCCACTTGGTCAACGGCAACGCCGTCCAAATCATCGGCAAGGTGAACCCAGACCTATCCATCAAGGTGCTCAGCTCCCGAGACTTGGGTGCCGGCGTTGGTGAGTACAACTTCCTGTCAATCGCCGCCGTCGACGACCGCTATTTCCATGGACAACTGGCTAATATCTCGTCTCCAGACTTCGGCCTCTGCACCGCTGTCGTCGAAGCAACTCACCGGCACAAGAACATTTTCATCACCGACGGCTAGCCGACACCCAAGACCCAGACAGAAACGTTTGACGCGGAGGGCGCAACGCCAGTGGGTTGTCATAGAAATCCCGCCATGAAGCCGACCATTACACTGGTCCCTCCAACTATATCTTTCCAGGCGTATCAAAATACCACGTTGCATTTACGAAGTCATAAACGGGGCGCAATGGGTTGAATTCATGGCCGAGTCTGAAGCCATCGTCGACTGCCGCCTTGGAGCCACGAGGGGAATTGTGTCCAGTGTACATACACATAGCCACCGCTGCAGGGCGGTAGGAGTAACCTGGCCATCTGCAGGGTGCCAGAAACAAGACGGGTTCCTCGGTTCCCACCATGTCGCTGATTCAAGTCTGAAACCACATCAACCCTCAGCTTATCAAGTTTGTCAACGCCAGACTGTTGCCCAGCAGTGGTTCATAGCAGGTACTAGGTGCACAAAGTGCCATTGAAGAGACCCAGTTTGTTCTTCTCTCTTGGTCAGTTGACATAATGCTTTTACTCTCCCTCATTCACCATTTCAGGTCTCCCCTCCGGCTCTACTTCATGTTCTGGAGCAGGTACTTGACGCCCGCAAAGGCCTCCTCGCCGCTCGGCACAATCTGGCTGGCCGGCAGGATGAAGCCGTAGCGTCCCGTGTCGCGCAGCTCCGAAGTAAACGTGTAGTCCGACTTGGCCACATCGTTGACCCAGTCGACGCTGCTGCCGGCAGTGCGGTAGATAGTAGAGCAGATGGGGCCGTAGCCGAACTCGAGGCCGTGGACGGACCGGATGGCCTCGACCGCGCCGCCCGCCAACGACTGCAGCTCGTCGTTGTTGGGAGCGACGTCGTCACACGTCCATCCGTAGGCTAATCGCCGTCGACGTCAGCATTCGTCTGCTGGCAAAGAGAGCGCAAAGCGGGATGAAAGCGACCAGATTCAGGGGGTGAACGGAAAGGGCAAGTTGGGGCACAGCAAGGCGAGAGAAGCACGGAAATGGGCGAGCACAAGACTCACGGGTCATAAAGAGCTGCGAGTACGAGTGGTAGTCAATGTACAGCTTGAGGCCCTGCGCCTGCTTGACCCGCGCGAGGAAGCTCGTCAGCGACTTGGTCTCGGGCGCGTCACTTTCGCTCTCGCCCCGGTAGTCCTCGGCGCACGGGTTCGTCGACGAGCCCGGTCCGTCCCACTTGTAGGGCCAGTTGCGGTTGATGTCGCGCCCGAGGCAGCTGCCTTGCGAGCTGCGTTGCCGGTTCTTGCGCCACATGCGGTTGGTGGTCTGCGAGTACTTGAAGCCTGGCCGGAGTCAGTCTGTCAGTCTCTCTCTCTCTTCGTCCGTCTTCTTCTCTGCCACGCCTCCTGGCTCTCTGGGAACCCTTGACGTTGTCCCGACCGTCTCCTGAACGGTACTGTCTCCCGCAGACGACACGTAGGGGCAGCTTACCGTCTGGGTTAACTATGGGAAACAGGTAAAAGTCGTACTTGTCGACAAAGCCCCGGATCTCCGCGTCGTCCTTGTATCCGTTGAGGAGTGAGTAGGCAAAGTACTCGACGACCTGCCGCGTCACATCCCGTGTCAGCCAGCAAGTCCCCCAACGCAGGGGATAGGGAGGCTCTCGGACCTTGGAAGCAATCCACTCGCGGGCGTGCACCGTGCCGTGAAAGACAACGGCAGGCTTGCTCCCCTTGCCGCCGCTGCCGTAGAAGTGGATGCCCGTGATGGCGTTGCCCTCGAGCGACCTGCCCGAGGTGACGACCTCGGAGTTGTTGGGATGCTCGGCCTGGAGCGCTTGGAGCCACTGCAGGTGCTCCTGGTAGGGGTGGTACGAGTTGAACCAGGTGTCGTTGGCCGAACCATCTGCTCGGGCCAGGGTGAGTCTCGCGGTGAGCTCCTGTCTTCCTCTATACACATCTTTGTCCGCTCTCTACGACATTTCTTCCCCGGTCGTGTGTCGACACGGCGCGCGAGAGGGGACAAACATGTATGAGCATGGATCACATACCGGCATAAACCTCAAAGGAGGCCTCGTCGGCAATCGACTTGCCGAGGTCCTCGTGCATGGTGATGAGCTCGAAGCCCTCCATCTCGCGACGAAAGTCGTCGAGCTTGGCGGGCGGCACCTCGATGTCGGCAAAGGCGCCCTTGCGCGAGGCCGGCTGCCACACGCCCAGGCCGAGCCGGGCCACGACGTCGTTGACGCGCTGCGCCTCGGTGCGCACCGGCACGCGGAACACCTTAAAACCGTCGTAGCTGATCCGCGTCGGCGGCGGCGGTGGCGCGGCGGCGGCCCAGGTGGCGGTGGCCAGGAGGCATGGCAGGATGGCGAGCGACGTCTTCATCTCGACTCACTGGGGGGGTCTATGGGGGTGTTTCTTCCCTCTCTCTCTCTCTCTCTCTCTCTCTCTCTCTCTCTGTCTTAAGCTATACTGAGTGGCCAAAGGGGGAAGAGAGTGGGCAGGACTGAAGCGAGGCAAGCGCAGGCAAGAAGGACCACAGAGCGGGAACGAGAGACGGACGAGGACTTCCCTATCTCTTTTATCCCCCCCCCCCTCCCCGGGCTCTGTTTGCCATTGTGTCGCCCTCATCACCACCGGCAGTGCAAGCACCGTCTCCCTCTCGCGCCATCCCAGCATGCAAAGTGACGAGCTGCAAAGTAACACCAGGCGAGGCGAGTTACAGGCCGGCGGGGCAGGACAGCCACCTCATGCTACGGCCGCGTCGAGCAGGTCGGCCAGCTCTCCGTATGGCGAGACCTTCCACTTCGGGACAGGCCCGCGGGTGATGTTTGTCTCTAGCGCCGTCGCCGTGGGTGGGGGGAAGAGTAGGAAACGGCCGGCGCGGGCGGCGGGCTCTCCACATCACTCCGGGTCGCCCGGCCCCGGCTTCCCAGCCCCTCCCCACTCGCGGTGCTGGCCAGCGGCTTGGGCCCAAACTAGAAGCTGCGGGCAGTCTTCCAGCATCAAGCTTGGATCGAGGCTCTTTCACTTCGAGGACCCTGGTTGTTAGTCGTCTATAGTTTCCTTGTGGCCGTATGAAGGGGGAGGGGGGCGGCCCCCCGCATTGGCACCGCCAGGCCATTTGCCGATCCCCCGAAGGCGAGCAAATGGCAGTATAATTATCGACCTGCCACATTCAGGCAAAGGGCAGAGCCAAATGTGCGCCGCCCAGATTGCCCACGGGACAGCGGCTGGGCCGAGCCCAGGGTCAAAGCCCATCAAGGCCGTCGTATGGACCAAGGTCGATGCTGGACATGGCCATGGGCATCACGGGTTTGCAGCACTGGGAGAAAGATAAGCCGGGCCTGGCACACTATGCGCCTGTATGCGGTAGGCCCGAGATTATGGCCTGCCGAGCGGGATGGTCAGGTTCCGTCTTCTCATTCGTTGTTGGCAAAGCAGGGGGGGGTTGAACCTTGATAACGAGTGGCAGCCAGAGGTGTGGTCAAAAGAGACGGGGAACTCGCGACCTGATCGACAAAGATTTAGACTATTCTCCTGGTGCCGTTGAATTGTGATTGCGGGCCAAGTGAGAAATTGAGCGGCGGATATGTGATGCCGACAGTCTTCATGTCGTCAACGCGTCCTCGCCAAGATCAAATATGCTTCTGTTACCACGTCGTGCTCTGGCCCAAGTTCATTTGTCGCCCTCATCTATAATGCAGATACAGTGGTGATTACTCCCCTTTTTCCCTCGCGTCATCCACGGTCGTCTAAGAGTCTAATCCCCCGGCGGCAGAGAAACGTGCCCCATGTGAAAGGCCTCCCTCGTGCGCCACGAGCACTTCTGCCCCTTGCCCCCCTTGCCCCCCTTTCCGGTGGGCAGCGCCCCGTTTTTGTCGGCGGCGGCGGCGGCGGCGGCGAAGCGGGCGTCGATCCAGCCGAGCCACTCCGGGGCGCCGGCCTGCACCACGGGCGTGTGCTCGAGCCCCGGGTAGAGGCTCAGGTGGACCTCGTTGCCGCCCTTGCCGCAGCTGCTCTCGACGGCGCGCATCGTAATCGGCGCCAGGACCGTCGTGTCGTTGAGCCCCTGCAACACCAGGACGGGCGCGGGCGAGCGGGAGCCCTGGCCCGGCGCCTCGGCGTCCTGCCACCGGAGCAGGGTGTCCATGTCGCGCTCGATGCCCGGCAACGAGACGAGCTGGTCGCGCTGGCCCTTGAGGTCGTCCGTGAGGGCCAACACGGCGCTGTTGCACAGCTGCGCCGTTTCGGCCAGGCGCACGCGGCGCCGCATCGTGTCCGACAGCAGCGTCTCGTGGTAGCTGGCGTTGGCCCGGTGCACGGCCAGGGGCAGGTAGGGCAGGAAGGCCGAGTGCTCGGCGCCTTCGTCCAGGCCGCGCAGCACCATGTCGACGGCGTATGTCGCGGGCGCGAGGGCGACGGTGCCGAGGTATGCCGCGTCGTTGGCCACGAGGCCGCTCTCGGCCAGCTTCCACGCCGCGCCGCCGCCCTGCGAGTGGCCGGCCGCCATCCATTTGCGCGTCAGGACGTGGCCAAAGAGCCGCCGCGCCGCCACGACCGAGTAGTAGACGTCGGCCGCGTGCGCGTTGAAGCTGCAGTACTTGTGCTGCGTCGCGTTGTTGCCCAGCCCGGCGTAATCTGTGGCCACGACGGCGTAGCCCCGGCTCACCAGCGGCTGCCAGGTGTCATAGTCGAATAGATTTGGTACCGTCGACGGCACGCATCTGGGGAAGATGCCGATGGTCCCGTGCGCGTACGCCACCAGCCGGAACTTGCTGCCCTTTTCTGCTCTGTGCTTATTCGTTGAGTTCTCGTGAGCGGTATCGTTGCCCCGGGCGTCGTCCCCCTCATCAAACCCCCCGGCCGGCGGCGCCCCGTAGGGAAACGCAACGAAGCCCGTCGCCGGCACCAGCGTCCCGTCGAGATCCACGGTCGTGTACTGGAACCGCCAGATGCTTGTCCCGGCCTTGATGCCCTGGCGCTGGTCCGGGTTGACGGGCTGCAGCTTGAGCACGTCGCCGGGTCGGCTGCCCGTCATGTTGCTTGCCGTGGCGTAAAAGTCGGAGTCGAAGTTGGTGCCAATGAACATGAGGGCCTCGGCGCTCCCCCGGCGAACCGCCTCCAGGCACTTGTCGCCGCACGAGGCTTCCTTGGCCTCGTCGGCCGTCACGTTCGCCTGCCAAGCCGCCGAGGCGGCGCCGGCGCCGGTGGCGAGTGCACAGAGGGCGAATTGGGCCCGCATGGTGGTGGTGAGCCGTCAGCTGGAGCCTTGATCTCCAATTGAAGCCAAACTGGTATCTACTGGTTTATGAACGTGATCTTTGCTTCCCGGCGTTCGAGCCTTCACGCTCGACTGTTCTACGGATAGCACGAGAGGGACGGCTCCTAAATACTCGGCACCCAGCCCTGGTGCTCCCGCGGCAGTCCATCCGGTGTCTCTGCTCAGGCCGTCGTCTCCGTTCTTCTTTGCCGATGCAGTCCCTGTTCTTCGAGACAAAGAGGCGGCCGGCGTGTAAGCGAAGCTTTGCCAATAAACTCCGGCGAAGCTTTGCTCAAAGTCAACTTGACATTAGCCGTATCCGTCGGCTTCCGCCTGACGCGCTGTTCTGAGGACCCTGCCAGCCCGCCGACAATGACGTACAGGTCGGCCTGTCCCTGTTTGTCTTTGAACAGTATTGTTTGTGCGGCGCGGTGTAAGTTCGCAACCGGTCTATGTCCGTGTTGACTGCCGTGAAAATTTACCGACTTCGACCAGTCTCGGCAACGGCAACGGCAACGGGTACCACCTATACCATCTACAAAGTATTACGACTATATTGGCCAATTGACGAGAGCATATATGATCGGTAGAGCCATATTAATCTCGTCATCCGTGGGAACCCTGGCTATTTGGCGTGCTAACTGGTCGACTTTGGTCAGGTTTAACGGTAACGGAGCTCTCACTGCTGGGCCACAGTGACAAAAATGGGACCAATGCCATTACAAAAGTCATATTAATCATATGGTAAGTATCCGTAGATATCAGGCTAGCTCTTTCGCCAGGTATTGGAGACCTTCATGACGCCTACGGAGTATAAGGCCGGCAGACAGGCCTGCAAAGGGCGTCACTGGGCCTCCAAGATTCCTTTTACTCATGCGTAAATGGGGCCTCAAAACCACCACCCCTTCTAGCTAGAAACGTGTATAGTTAGTTTACTAAGTTATTTTACTGCTTATTCACATAACTGTTCATTCACTTATGTCGCCGCCTTCCATTTACGCACGTGCTCTCAAACGCCCAGTTGAGAGTCTAGAGCAAGGTCACTGTGAGGAAACCACTAGGTTGTGCAGGCAAAAGTGAAGTGACACTCCAACAGATGACCTGGAAGTGGACCTATATGCCATGGAGGTGCTGGTGGCAGCCGACAGTACCTAATACGTCACAATAAGGAGGGCTCGGTCAAGTTGGAGCCGAGGCAAGCCCACACAGCTTGCGGAACAGGTTTGCCTCGCCATTATGCGAGTGCGGGTCGCCGGACACTAGCTGCCAGGCGAGCATGTTCCGCGTGCCTTTATGCTGGAGCTGCGCCATGGAATTACTCGTGCTTGCTGTCTGCAACAGCCATCTTCTCGATGATGGCGGAGTAAAAGAAGCCGGCTGCCGCAAGGGGGAAGAGGGAGGGAGGGAGCTGAACTTCATCTTATAAGCTCGCAGGGTCTTCATAGTTGCAAACTTGCGATGAGTGCGGCGGCACATAGCTTGTGTATGGGAAAGTGCTGAAACGCAAAATCGCGATTACAATCAACAGATGCCTCTATAAGCCGCTTCCGCAAGCCATGCGCCTTCTGCAGCGTCCTCTGCAGTGGGCGTGATCGTGGCCTTTTGCCTTCTAGTGGCCCTTGCCGTCATGTTTTGACGAAATCGCTGTTTTGACTGGACCGCGGTTTTGGGACAGCAGATGAGCCTTTTCGGTTTCAACCTTGACCTAAAAGCTTAGTTCGATCACGTTAATCTCAGCCTGCTACCCGTCTCGTCCGGTGCCGAGGGATTCCGTGGGGCCTTCAAGTGCAGGCTGTTTCATCACTGTTACACACTATTATGTTTGACTAGTTACAGAATAGTCAACCGAAGGCCATAGAAAGTTCACCGCCTTCTAATGTGCCGAGCTTTCTTACGCCCAAGTCATAAACAACTGTATGTAATTCCTCATCAACCTAATCTTTATTCGCTCTCGTTGCTGCGCTTCAGGTCAAGTGCGCCATCAAGTTCAGTATGCGCCCAGAAACCTCCACGGCTGTGCTGGCCTTTGTCGGCGGCACGGCTGCCTGCTTGCATGGTGATGCGCTTTACGCTCGCGGGCCGGGCCCCAGTCTTGATCGGTCTTCACGATACGTGCCGTGAGTAGCCAGCGGTTTCACACAACGTGCGGCAAAGTAACTGACCAGTTAAACAGAGCGTTGTTGAGACGGCAAAACCAGCAGGACCGAGTAAATATCTTTTTCGGCCAGGTTCAAAACGTCGGCGCAGAGATATATGGCTGCTACGCTGGTGGTTCTGACGACGCAGACAAAATACCCAAGGGCATCCAGCCCAAATCCGTCAGTCTGAACGGGGAAGGATTCGACCCAAATCTTAATCTGGGCGTCATGGTCTACTACATTAAAGCTTCCCAGAATTCCGTCGTCATGTTCGATACGTCCACTGCAAAAGCTCTCGCCGACAGCTGCAACCAACAGTTGAAACAGCAGACGGGACTTGGCATAGACAAAGTCATCCTCAGCCATGAGCACGGGGATCATGTCGCGGGCCTCAACGCCGAGAGCTTGAAGCAAATCCCAGTCGTGGCACAAGACTCACTCGTCGAAGGGCTGAAGGCCAAAGGAGGCGACGACTCGCCCTTGAAAGAAGATAAATCAAGAACTTACGTGCCCTTAAAAGAAGGTGAATCAAAAGCCTTTCAGATGCAGGACGGTGTCATGAACGTGACAAACGTCCAAGCCCACACGCAGCTTGGGACAGTCGCCATGATAAATGGGGTCGCCCTGATGGGGGATGAACTGGAAAGCACCGTCAACTTCCTTGTCAGCAAGAACACGCAGCAGCAGAGCGGTCAACTCCAGAAAAGTAACAATATACTCGGCGAGAACAACGTGGAAAAGGTCTTGCCGGCTCACGGAAGCGGAGCAGCCATGTTCGGTGGACAGTTTAGCCTCCAACTTCTGCAATCGAACCAACAGTACTTGGAGCTCATGGCTACGAATCCGCAATCCGTCTGCGGGAATCAGCAGCAGCAGGAGGGCAAGGCCCAACTCGCTCAACAGATCGGCATCAAAGCAAACGACATAACAGACGCTTATTTCGACACGCACATCAACGAAAATTGCAAGACCGTGGGCGCCCAGGCAGGACAGGCAAAACAGGGACAGAACGGAAACAAGGGAGGGGGAGGAGCTCGGGGGGGGGGGCAGAATGCCCAGAAAAAAGGGAGCCAAAGAAAGGCCAACAAGGCGAACGACATAAATGGGAATTAAAACCAAAACTAGCCCTGCGAGTAAGAATACGAGCCATACGACCTGGCAAGAAGATGGAACAGAAGGAAACAAGAAAGAGCGATCATGGCATGGCACCGGCTTCGAGGAGATAAAGAAGGAGCTGAGCAAATGTGAACATAAATCAGAAACAGCGGCTCTATCGGCTGGGCCGCCGAGCGTAATAGATTTCATGATGTGTGTGTGTGTGTGTACACCAGATGAATGTCTTATGTTCGAGGCATGAGCGGCATTGCTTGTAGGAGATTACACTATCTATTCGGAAAAGCTGTCTTCGTATTCATATTGCGACGACAATTACTCTTGTTCGTAGCCGGTCAACCACTCGTCCGCCTTCGTTTTCCATTCATCACCGCGCCGGTTTTGTACCTCCCCCGTTAGCTTCATAACGGCATTCTCGACAATACTACGGCAAAGCCCGGCGGGCTAGTCTTCCCTTCATTAGCAATGAGTCTTCCTAAGGCACTCGTGGATACATCTATATAGTCGTATTATGACACCTTTGCCAATGCGGCTAGGCATAGCTAGTAACTGTAATGAATTCTAAACAGCTATAGCAGGCGGCCACTATCAGAAAATATTAGCAAATAGTAGAATTACTCTTAAAGACTTTCCTTGATCACTGTTCGAGGAGGTAGGAGGCCTACGTGGAGGATATATGCTGTTGGTCGGAGGGTAAATTAACTGAAATAGCATTCGTCACGTTTGCATGTTGATGACGCGCATACAGTAAAGGAAATGCTGGGTCTGGCCGAGTCTTCCCTGATGCCGTGATTGAACGGCCTCGTTTTCCAGACTCCCCTGGCCACGGTTGTTAGACTAGTCGACCAGTTGTTGGACTGACCGTTCACTGACTACTCGACAGACTGCTTGGCTGAGGGCTCGACAACTGCTCGATCGAATACCTGCCACTGCCGACGTTATATCGCAATCACAGTCTTTACACCGTATGCTCAAGAGTAACCACAAGGCGTAGCCGACACTAGATCTCTGACATACACTCCGACCACTAGTCAAGCCCTCGAAGGAATCCAATATGTCCATCCCAACCATTGACAACCCTCACGCCACCCGTCGAAACAGAGACCTCCCGCAATACCAGGGCGGCTGGCTTGTTCATGCTGTTCATGCATTATTATTCGCGCATGTATATAAAGTCTAGGCCATTCTTCCCTCCACTCCGCAACAATGCCTAGGAACGAACAGGTCTTAGAGCACCCCGTTGTCCTCCATCCGCAGCAGCTCCTCCGCAGCCGCCCACACATCATCCGCCCCCCCGTCCATGAATAGGGCCTGATGATGCTCCTTCACGGGACTTAATGCCCCGTCCACTCCGCTCACGCCGGGTCGGCTTCCATCCAAGCCCTCGTCGTGGGCCGCTGCGAGTGACGAATGGCCATGCAGACACCTCCGTATCCTGGCCGAGACGACACCGTCATCCTCGGTCTTGCCTGAGTCGTCGCTCCCCTCGCTCTTTGGCTTCTTGTCCAGATTCTTCGGCAAGGCCTTGTGCAATGGCCCATCTTCCTCTACGCGTGATGCTTGGGCCCCGTTCTCCGAAACGGGCTGCTTGGAGGGCGACCCACGTTGTTTCCCATTGTCGCCGTCTTCATTGTTCCCTGCAGGTCTCTGCTGCGCCATCGACATGGACGCCTTGATGCCCCTGAGGCGCGATGTGAACCGCTCAAACACCTGGATCCTCTTCTCCGCCGCCTCGGCCCTCTCGCGCCACGTGGACAAGTCCCTCCTCGCCGTGCGCAACTGCTCGCTCAGCGTCCCCACCTCTGCACTATCCTGCGCCTCGAGCTGCCTGCGCAGCTGTGACGCCTCGTCCGCCTTGGCGCTCAGGCTTCGTTGGAGGCTCTGTACCTGCGCGTACAAGACAGTTGTGCTCGACGTGGGACTCTCAAACTTGGAGGGCGGCGTAAAGTACGTCGTGGGCGCTCCGTCGATGCCTGAGCGGCCCGGGGCTGGCGTCGACAGCGGCCGCACGAGGTTGAGGTGTTGCGCAATCGGGGGCTGCTCGCGGTAGGGGACCATGGTGCCCAGGCTCGGGACGGGCTTGAGCCTCCCGCAAAGCACGGGGCCTTCATCCGCAGACTGGTGAAGTGCGGGCATTGACCGTCTGGCGCCGACGCGAGGAGCCGCCACGGCGTCTCCGTCAACAGCACAGGTGCTTTGTCCATCTCCCATCTCGACATCACTGTCGCTATTTCCAGAGGTAGAATTCTTGGCAGCGTCTTTTTTGCCGATGCAAGACCTTGGCGACTTGTCCGAGTCGTCACGCGACGTTTCCAGCCCTGCCTTAGAGAGCTGACCACACTTGCGAGGCGAGGCAGCCGCCGGCGCCTGTCTCGAAGCGTTCTCTTCGGTGCACTTACCCTTGCCAGGCAACATTGGCCTGTCTTCAGCCGAGCCTTGGCTCTTAAACAGTGCGGCAATGGCCTTGACAGACCCTCGTTTGCTGAGCGCTCCGGAGCTGCTGGACTGCATGGGCGATTGCACCTGGAGCTTGATTGGGCCGCGCCACGGGCCAGGAGACCTGAAAGCTCGGGACTGGCGGCTCGATGGGCTCTTCTCATATGCTGTGACCTGCCGGGGCGGATTATGCTGTCCGTCAGGCTTGGCCTGTTGTCCTGGCTCCACGTACTTGACCAAGTCCAGGCTGCGCGGCACAGCATCGCCATCGGCAGTTTCAGAGTCTTGATCGCTGCTCCGTTTCCACTGGCGATTCTGTTGCGCACTTTCTCGAGGATATAAGAGCTTAGGCGTGCTGCCAATTGAGCCTCTCTGGGCGTGCTCTGTGCTTCGTCTCCCATCGACGTTATTCCGGGGCGTCCAAGTTGAATTGTTGGGCGCGATTCGTCCGACATCATCCAGACTCTTCCCAGCAGGCCGGAGCTGCGTTTCGTTGCCCTTTACACTTATTTCCGACGCCTCTGATCCGGGCAAGACTGCGTTACGCCCGAAGTCCGCCGAACCATGTCCGTGCGGTGAGTGCGCGTTGCAAAGTCGAGAAATGCGCTTCTCCCTCGGACTCATGAATTCAGTCTGATTCTCCTTCTTGTCATTGCGCGGACAGTATGACGGACCCGCAGAGTCGTCAGAACCATCATAAGAGCCGACATTGTTCGATGACCGAGCTTTGCGAAACCGTCCCTGCATTCTCCCAATCCTGCCCTCAAGGGGGTCAGGAGACAGCAGTTCAGTAAATCCTCCCCCTGAGTAAGACATGATTTTCTGCGCCGTCTCTGAGCTGTCGTGTTCGTGTCGCGATCTAGAGGATATTCGTGGCGGGACAGTGTCGAGGTGTACTCGCGGATTGCTCTGAGACGTCGCCTTCGGCTGCTGCAAAGGTTGCTCCTGGTTATCGACTGCTGGTGGTGTAATGTTGGAAATGGCTACAAATTCTCCATGATTCATTCCTCGTGCATCCTCGTCCTCGGGGATCGTCAAGGTCACGGTCGGCTTGGGCGACTGGCTGGATCGTCCGACTGCGGCTTCTTCTTTGCCTTGCGGAAAGGCGCCTTTGTGGGCGGTCACCCCTTCGTCGTCCGTCAAGCTCTCTTCCTTGGTCGGGCTCAATGTCTTGACACTCATCTTCGGCAGTAGTTTGTGGGAGGCCGCGTGCACGAGCGATCTTGGTCGCCGTCTCCTCAGCCCAGCCGTCGGCGTGTCCGGCTCCGGGGTGCTGTGGCGCTTAGCCTGGTCATCTTTCGGCGCATCCATGTCTTGCGGCATCTTGATGGTAAAGGCCTGCGAGGCGGATGGGCGCAGCGAGGGGTTGTTGAGGTTGACAAGAGACACGTCTCTCCGGTGGTGAGTGCCGAGTGACTTCATCTGGCGAACGACGTCGCGCCAGTTGGCGATGAGCATCTCGGCGATCCCATTGGCCACCAGAATCTTGTTGACGGTCGGCGGCCCGGACTCTTCGTTTTCTGCCTTGGTCTTGCGCCCGCGGAGAAGTCTGTGGGGGCTCAAAGGAAGCAGAAGCATTCCCGCCGTCGGGGCCGCCAGCTTCATCGTGTACTGATCCAGCAAGTCCCCCATCAAAAGCGGGCCAAATACGATCCCCAGGGCATGGTAGCCCATCAAGTCTGCTGTCGGGAGCGGTCTCCCGTCCGCGTCCTCGCGCGGTGTCACCTCTGCGACTCGACCGATCAAGCTCAAGAGGCCGACGACGGCGCAAACGAGCTCTCGGCGGAACTGAGACTTGATGGTGCCAATGGCCAGGGCGATGAGTCTTGCGCGAACTTTGGTCTGCTTGGTTCGCGGAAACTCGGGTTCTCCGTTGAGTTGGGAGTGAATGGCAACCAGAGCGTCGAAAAGGGCAAGAGACCCAAGGATCCCTCCGGGAAGAACAGACAGCAGCCTCTTGAAAGTAGACGCCACGTCGTGGACAGAGTACGAGATGTACAGCGGAAGGTTGGCGCAGCGAACCGTCCCGGCAATGTCGTCACCACCGGATTCCAGGCGACAATAGTAGTCGAATAGAGCAGAAACAGTCCTCACAGACCCAGAGACTCGAAAAACCCCACGTGTGGCTGCATTCTGGGCGAGATATTGTGCGGTCGCGCGGAGACAGGTCGGCAAGACTAGTGAGCAGGGGGAATAGTCCTGGGGCAAATACATCATGCTTTTGCCGCTCAACCGCACCATTTCCTGTATACAAATGACTCTCGGGGGCTCGCGGCGAGAACGGATAATGTGAGCGAGATCTGAGACGCTGCGTCGATGCCGTGGCTGAAGCTGGCGAGGGGGGGGCGGCCCTGGGGGGGGGGGATGATCATGATGAGGACTAGATCGGAGGAGTCGATGAAGCCAGCCTCTCTTCTCGGGGCTTCGCACAGCGTCAACCTGAGGGGCGTTGTCAGCATTGAAGGAGATGGGCAAGTCGGGGACGCCCACCCGCTGCTCGGCCTCGAAGTCGTCGACAATCAATAGCCTCACGCCATGCTGCGCAAACAAGTCAGCCGCCATGCCCCACAGTTTGAGATGGCCACAGATCATCGCACCTTTCTCGCCAGCCGGTTGTACTCGTGGACAAAGATTGCCCGGTCCTCCACCTCGTCCGTGTCGCTCAAGAGACCGAGCTCGCCGCTGCTCGTCGTCCACGTCCCGCTGCTGCGCACCTGCGAGGGCGCGGCCAACAGACTGTGTACGCTCGCGCTGTGCGGAAACGGAAGGGAAACGGAGCTCGCCGACGTGGGCAACCTATGATGCGGAGCCGCACGAGGGGGGCGCAGGTGCTGCGAAGACTTGGAAGCCGACAGCCGCCTTGTTCGACCCATGAGGTGAAGCTGCTCTGGGTTTTGGAAGGGGAGCAGCTCTTCTGAAATGATGGCATAAGGCTGCGCTGGAGTGAACGCGGTGATGTTGAGCCCGTGCGTGCGTCGGTGTCAAGGGGCGCGGGCTGTTGTTTCTTGTTCCCTTTACCGCGCGGCTTCCATGGAGGGCTGTGAAAACAGACGAGGTACCCGTTGCGGCGAAATATGGAGAGCAGGGCACGGGAGGTGCTACAGACACCATGCGTGGATGCTTCCTGTCGTCAGTTGCGCCCGGGAAAGCTCATGACATGGCACGGCTGGAAACGAGGAGGCTACCTCGGACGTCGACAAAGCCCAAGGACAGCCCGTCAGCTTGTAAAGCCTTTCTGTTCTGGGCGCGTTCGGTGGCAAGGTGGAAAAAAAGGGGCGACGGGGTGGGTGACGCATCCTCATTCATTCTACCTCTCTCGAATTCAGAGTACTCACCGGCCCTCTCTGCGGACTCAACGTCCGCCAGATGTCTCATGCACCTAGGTAAGTCGTGGCTCGTCCGGTCAGACATTATCGACGGCTTGCCCAGACAACAACGGGCGACGGCAACGGAACCAAGACGAAGCTTTGCCACCAAGAACGGGCTATGCCAACACCCCTAATTCACTGTCCCATTCGATATCCCCAGACGCCTCCAGATCCGCCGCGTCCCGCCCAACCAACGCTTTCTCAGCGGCGGGCCAGGGCCGAAATTGCCTTATCGCGTAAGTAAAGTCATGAAAATCCCACCCTCATCTTCCGTGTCGTTGCGTCATGATCGATGGCCCGCATCCTCCTCCCCGTAGAGCAGCACGTATTTTAGAATGTCCGAGAGCGAGATGATGCCCTTGAGCTTGTTCTCATCGTCCACCACAATCAGTCGATGCACGCGGCTTTTGCGGATCGTGTCGAAGATGGAGTCGAGCCGGTCGCCCTCGCAGCACGTGTAGATTCCGGGGCTGTCGTCGGGTCGCTTGCAAAGGGCGTCGCCCACCGAGCCGTCCAGCTCCTCGTATGCGCCGCCCTTGATGCACGAAATGACATCGACAGCTTCGAAGGCGTTGAGGACCCTGTTCTCGGAATCAACAATGGGCACGCAGCTGATGTTGCGGTCTACCATCATGTGGATGGCATCCAGGACGGTGCTGTTCATGTGCGCCGTCGCTAGGTTGGTGTAGGAGCCGAGGCTGACTTCGCGGACACTCTTCTTGAGCAGGACGGTATTGTGTTCGTTGTTGACGGCGATGAACTTGAGGATTCGGTACTGGGTGATGACGGATATGACGGTTTCCCTGCCCGTCTCGTCGTCGACATCGACCAGCGGAATCCGTCGGGCGCGGGTCTTGAGCATGCGGCGACATGCCTCGTACAGGGGCCGGGCGGGATGGACGGAGACGGTTTCGATGGGGATGGCGCCGATGGCCTTTTCGATATCTGCCAATCATGTCCCAGTCAGCGATGCCGAAGCTGTCAAGCCCTGGTACAAGAGTGCACGCGTACCTCTGAGACTGCACAGGCGAAACTGGTCCAACTTGCTAATCTCGTCGGGAAATTGGTAGTAGTACTGGATGACGTTGATGAAGTCTGTGGCCGTCAAGATGCCGGCGAAGCGCGACGTTTCCGAATCCCACAGAGGGGCCGACACGATTGCTAATGCCTGGGCGTCAGCATGCTCCAACGCGTGTGGCGCGGGGGCAACGCACAGTTCTGGATCAGGATGTTGAGACTCTTCTTGATGAGCAGATCGGTATCAAGGACGATGAGGCGAAAGGACAGAGGCAAGACATCGTAGCTGGTGCGGACTTTGAGGAAATCGCGAATGGCTCTCTGCAGCCCGGACAGTCAGCTCTACCACCGACTTGGGAGAGGGAGAGGGAGAGGCGTACCAGGCCTTGTCGCTGTTCCTTGTCGAGGGGGCTTTCGGGGGCCGTCGCGGGGGCAGCCATGGCGGCGCTGCTGCCGTGGGACGTCTTGAAGCGCAGGTAGGAGGAGGGAGCTACGAAGCGAGGCACGCGCAGGTTCGCCGATGGCTCGCGACTGGGGCCAGTCGAGGCCGCTGATGGAGCGAATACTGAAGGAGGATCCGGGCTTGGGCCTGATGCTGGCTGCTCTAGACTTGGCCCAGCCCCGATTCCGGCTGCTGGCCCAACACGACGGCTGCCCGGTATTGGCTCGCGAGAGTCAGGCAGAGGAGGGTCGGCATTGGCCTGGGCGGGGTCGGCGCCAGACGGGGCGCTAGGAGGCGCGGCCGTGTCCTTGTCTTCCATTCGGACAAGGGAGGGGGTCCGGATTGCCTTGTCCAGGATGTTCGAGCAGCCGCGTTTTCTGATGTTGCTTTGCTTGCAACTGTTCCGACGGCCGAGGTGGGGGGGTGAAATTGAGGGTGGATTGCGGATCGCGGGAAGGGGGGGGGAACCACGAGGTTCAGCCCAGATAAGATAAGGTACTTCAGGAGCTGTCGGTACAGTACCTGGATGTCACTGCCATGATGGACGAGCTAGGTACCTTGGGTACCTAGGTAATAACTAAAGAGAGGGACGAAAACGTAGACAACTTCAGAGCATCCGGTTTCGAGCGTCATCGAGGCCTCCTCGAATGACAGGACTCGTACAGCACACACATGACAAGTCCTTTCTACGGCATGACAGGACTCTGCTTGTGCGTGAACCTCGCTCTTGGCGTCACTTAATGACTCATGTCAATGCTCTGTCGACAGGCCTCGAGCATCCTCCCAAGTCTCGTGCAGAGAAACGGGTGACACGCTCGAGGGCAATAATCCCTCGCAGACACCTGTGGGTCGTCGGGCTCAACAAGCTATGTTCAGATGCGGCACGCTCTGTACGGCATCAAGTCATATCGTAGCATCTATTGCCTTGAGGGCTGTCCAGATGATGGCTGGCCGTCCCGAAAATCCACGTCACATGGCAGTGGTCCGACGAATGACATCGCTGTCTGGATCGTGATGTCTCACATTTTCCCTGTCATGTCACTGTCCTGTGGTTGCATTGCCCTTTTGGCCAATGGGCTGAGTCGGCTGTAAGAACTTGTCAAACTGCCTTTGAATGCTGGGCCTCGCAATACACCTTCTATCTCTATGTATTACCGTGCCATCTCGGCAACGCTTGCCTACTCCAAACGCCAAAGGACTCGTTGCCGGTCAGAAGAAAATATGAATACTACATTACATATTGCAGAGGGCTCGGGAGGCATTCCGTGAGACTCAGCGCGGATGCCCCTACCTACCCTAGGTCCCCGTGAGGCAGGTCGTTGGCAGCGAGTTCATTGTTCCTTCAAGCGCCCGAGAAACAATCTGCGCGCCATTTACTCTGTGACCTTGGAATTCTGCCCAATTCTTGAGAAATGTAGACATTGTAGCCCTGGAGGAAAGCATCATTTGCGCTCACTTCAAAGCGGCGGCAGTGTCCGCTTTCCCCCGACAATCTTGCGACGCAAGCATTAGTATGAGCGAGAGCCTCACGCCCAAGAGGCAGGTCTCCTGCGTGGTCGGTCAGTGAGCAGCTCGTAGGTACGGATATCTAGAAGCGGTTGGTTGGGTTGGGTTGCCTGCGAAGAGCTGCGTCAGGCCACCATATTTTGCCCTGGCTACAGAGCACTGTACACACGTCGAAGCGGCAATCCAAATGCAAACGCGGCTTGGTAGGTGCCGCGATTCAATCTCCATTCCTTCCTGCGCCTAACTTCTTTGGAGCATTCGAGGCAGGCGCTGCAGGTACTTTGAGGTACCCGCACCAGCGAATGCTTTTTGCACAGGCAGCAGGGCGCGACTGGATTCCCTCTTGGCTCAAAGCATCCCAGCCCAAGTTCCCGCATCCAAAAACCACGAGTGTGAGCATCGTCCAGGTAACTTGCCTTGCCGGACACGGACCCTCGAGGCCAGGAACGGAGCGGCGGTACGCAGCGCGGGCATGTGCCTCGGCGTCCGTTCTGTGCCACCTCGCGGAAGGGAACCCTTCGATTGCGGATAGGTACTAGATAGGGCAGCAAGTACCCGGTACCTCCGGCATTGACATGGGCGAGGCATTCTGACGCGAATGGAAGCCGCGGGTGCTGTGTTGGGTACCTTGCTGGTCTCTCACAATCCCGCGCCGCGCCGGTCGTCTCCCTTCTGGGCTCATCCTGTAATTATGTACTTGCTGTACTTTCGTACCTCTACCACCCACATAGATCCCTTCCTCGTCAACCTTGCCATTGTTCGCCGCCCGCCCGGCCTGCAACAAAATCGCCTTCTGGGCCATCCCCTATCCCCGTCTCGCTTCTCGTCGCTGCTGGCACACGAGCTTCTCTTTCTCTCGCTGGCGCAACTTCCCTCCATCAAGCTCACGCTCGGGTTGCGGCGAGCCCAGAGGCCGCCATCCGAGGTAACGTGTTGCTCGTCGAACTGGCGTCAACAAGCTCCCGCCATCACTCTCCCCCTCGAGTGACAAAAACAACATCATCCACCGCCACGACCGCCGACCCCTTCCTACACTGCCGTCATAGCTCAGAGCTAGACCCGTCACGGCCATTGTCCTCATCATGGGGATTTGCCACTCTACGTGCTGCGGGGGTATAGCTAACCCCGACGCGTCGCCTCCCTCGCCGGCTATTGCTGATGTCGATGCCAGGACGAGCTCGCGATGGCCTCTACGAACCCGTCCTCGCCGATAGCGAGCGGGAAGCTGTCGCCGACCTGCTCCAGTACCTCGAAAATGTCCGTCGACTCCTACTCCCGTTCTCTGTGTCTCTGTCCAGCTCGAGACTAACTGGTGCGCAGCGCGGCGAGACGGATTTCTTTTCGGGCGAACCTCTCCGTGCACTCAGCACTCTAGTCTTTTCCGAGAACATCGACCTTCAACGCAGCGCAAGTCTTACCTTTGCCGAAATCACAGAGCGAGGTATGTCATGACCACCGAGCGAACCCGGGCGGCCCAGGAGGACTTGGCCCTCCCAAATCTCCCAAACGCCAGCCGTCACGTCGTGAGCTGGCGGCACTGACACCCCGCAACTAGATGTACGAGAAGTCGACCGCGATACCCTCGAGCCTATCCTCTTCCTATTGCAGAGCCCCGATATCGAGGTCCAAAGAGCGGCCAGCGCTGCCCTGGGCAACCTAGCTGTCAACAGTTTGTCACCGTCCCCAAAGCGACGTGCCAAGTCCACCTCGAGTGCTAACTGATGGACTCCAGCTGAGAACAAGGTTCTGATTGTCCAGCTAGGCGGCTTGACCCCGCTGATCCGGCAGATGCTGTCTCCAAACGTCGAGGTCCAGTGCAATGCCGTCGGGTGCATAACCAATCTCGCAACGCACGAGGAGAACAAGGCAAAGATTGCGCGGTCCGGAGCTCTTGGCCCGCTAACCCGACTGGCAAAATCTAGAGACATGAGGGTGCAGAGGAACGCTACGGGTGCCCTCCTCAACATGACACATTCCGGTAAGACTTGATCGCCTTTTGCTCACTGACGTCGCAATTGCTCATGTGTTTGCAGACGAGAACCGGCAACAGCTCGTTAATGCTGGCGCCATTCCGGTCCTCGTTCAGCTCCTCTCGTCGCCCGACGTCGACGTGCAGTACTATTGTACAACCGCCCTCAGCAACATCGCCGTCGACGCCAACAACAGACGGAAGCTCGCCTCGTCCGAGCCCAAGTTGGTTCAATCCCTGGTCAATCTCATGGACTCCTCGTCCCCCAAAGTTCAATGTCAGGCAGCCTTGGCCTTGAGGAACCTCGCGTCCGACGAAAAGTACCAGCTGGACATTGTGCGGGCCAATGGTCTTCACCCTCTCCTGCGCCTCCTCCAATCGTCCTATCTCCCTCTCATTCTCTCCGCCGTCGCCTGTATACGAAACATCTCTATTCATCCAATGAACGAATCGCCCATCATCGAGGCCAACTTTCTAAAGCCCTTGGTTGACCTCCTCGGATCGACCGACAATGAGGAAATCCAGTGCCACGCCATTTCGACGCTGCGCAACTTGGCCGCCAGCTCCGACCGCAACAAGGCGCTGGTGCTGGACGCGGGCGCGGTGCAAAAGTGCAAGCAACTGGTGCTCGACGTTCCGGTCACTGTCCAGTCGGAAATGACCGCTGCCATTGCGGTCCTCGCGCTGAGCGACGACCTCAAGTCTCATCTGCTCAACCTCGGCGTCTGCGACGTCTTGATTCCTCTCACCCACTCTCCCAGCATCGAAGTCCAAGGCAACAGCGCAGCTGCTCTGGGCAATCTCTCTTCCAAAGGTACGTTGTTGCCGCGGTTACCCTGCTGTGCGCGTGTCGACTAACGGCGTCGGTAGTGGGCGATTACTCCATTTTCGTGCAAAACTGGACCGAGCCCAACGGTGGCATCCACGGCTACCTTGGCCGATTCTTGCAGTCTGGAGACGCCACCTTTCAGCACATTGCCGTATGGACGTTGCTCCAGCTGTTCGAGTCGGAAGACAAGGCGTTGATCGGGCTCATTGGCAAGGCGGACGATATCATCGAGCACATCCGAAACATAGCGAGTCGTCCGGTCGAGGCGGAGCCGGATTTCGAGGAAGACGAGGGCGAGGTCGTGAACCTGGCACAGCGGTGCCTGGAGCTCCTCGGACAGAGCATGTCAAAGGCTCACATCGAGGGATAGGCCTTTTGAATCATGGCGCATGACATGCCAGCCCTAATTGCCCCAAAGTTGGACCTTGACGTTCTCGTCATTTTACCGTCGCGGCTCTCATCCCGCGGCCAAGGGGGCGCCGAGACGGGGACAGAACGAGTCGGCGGGCGAGGCACCGGTGTTTTGGGCGTCCGGAATCCGTACCGCATCGATGCTTGGAGGGCTGCGAGTGAGATGATTTTCTCTTACGTGCCTCGGCCCAATTCCTTGTTTTGCTTGGTGTCCATCTCCTGTGTCGGGGATGAGATACACTTCATTGTTCATTCGGCCAGGTTGACCTCGGAGAGCTATTTGCTGCCGGCAACCCTTTGGGAGACTAGGTGGTGCGGCGGCAGCGCGACACGGGGACGCAGGGCCTTTTTATTTGTACAAAGCATATTTGGTGGACTGAGTGGCTGAAGCCCAGCATGAGGTGCTTGGGTTGAAACTGGTGAAAGGAACGGACACAGGGATTGCAGGGCTTGGGACGCAGCTGTAATTAGACGACCATGTTTGCTGGCCCTCACTTCTTTGCGCTCGTTATACCCAGGAGTTACCCTTTTCTACTACATGAAGCTGCCGTGTGGCGGGTGTCTACCGTAGGAACCTAACAAATCGGAACGGTCTTGGCGGTCTGGGGCGACGTAGAGCGAGCCGAGTGCCAAGACGTGCTTGTCCAAGCCAGGAGGTGGCAGTGACGAATTCAAGGTTGGACATCGTCCATTGGCTGCAGCCCGTTGTTGATCCAATGCCGCTCCCTCCAGGGCAGGACTTTGGCGACGATCTTGCCCTGGATGAGGGCCAAAGGCAAGGGGCCGAATTGCCTCGAGTCTCGCGAGGCTGGAATATTGTCGCCGACGATCCAACAATGGCCCTCGGGCACCTGCTTTGCGGTCAGAGTGTCCAAGGACGGAGCCTGGAGGCGAATGCCGAGACGGGAGAAGGCGACGAGAGGAGGAGGAAAGATAGAGGGGATACCTGAATCATGCGGTCCTCGCCCTTGTCCCCGGGGGTGCCGAGGGAGACGTAGTCGCCGGGCAGGCCGACGACGCGCTTTGCGCCGCTGTGGGAGGGGAAGATGGGGATCTTGTAAAGAACGAGGTCGCCGACGGCGAGGCGGCGGCCGTGGCGGGCCGTCATGTCGGCGAGGATCCAGTCGCCGTCAACGGAGAAGGTGGGAAGCATGGAGGGGCCCTGGGCGGGGGATAGCTGGACGAGGTGGGTGAGGGTGAGGTGGGCGAGGCAGGTGATTTTGAGGGTCGAGAGGGCGAAGCGCAGGGGATGGCCGAGGATGTGACCGATGGCCATGGCGAAGGGTCGAGGTCCGGCTGAGAAATGCGGAGGGGAGAAGAAAATATTTGCGAGGTACTGGAGACGCTATGATTGGGTGACTAGGCGGGTGGGCATGGGGTAGCATGGCTGAGAGAAGCTGTTCCATGAGCTTGTTGCGATGAGGCTGATGATATCAGCGTCGTTGCTGGTATGAGCCAATCTGCCAGAGTTGTGCCCGCGGAGAGCTTGGCAGCTTATGATTGGCTGAAGGGACGGGGGACCTTGCAGCTCGAATGCTTGGTCTTGGACGGAACATGCCTGACAAGTATCCCCGACCTCCGATATGACGGCTGGTCAGCCCTTTCAAAGAGCTTGCAGTACACGTTGGGCAAGTACAGTTAGCCAGCCAGTCTGACGTAAGGGAGGTATCTGAGAGGTACGGAGCATTTCGCAGCTTGAGGCAACAAAGCAGCCTCACAATTTTCATCCGCAATTAAGGCAACCACCGTCCGCAACCCCCTCTAAGTCCCAATCGATCGGAGCGCTTTCCCTCTCTGGCGAGCACCAGGAAGAAGCTGGCCCAACAGAAACATGAGTGGAACGCCGCAATGCCTCTGCAACGCGGCACGCCGAGCGCTCCACCACGTTTTTGTCCCTCCCGCCGCCATTGCTCCCCCGATGATGTGTCGTCGTAGCAGCGGCGCCGAGCACCTGCAGCTGCGACTCTTTACCAGGCCATCGAGACCCCCCCCGAATCGCGCCGGGGGTGGCGGCGGCGGCGGCGGCGGATACGGCAGGTCGACAGCGGGGAACAGCCTGGACGACGACGGCGAGGCGCGGGGCTTCGACAAGCGGTACACGACGCGGGCGGACATTGCAAAGATGGGGCGCGATCGGCCGCCGCAGGACCACGAGATAACGGACCCGTATGTCATGGTGATTGATGGGGGCGCGCCCGAGGGCCCGCTGGCGCCTCGGTTCGTCATGAAGAAGCTGCAGCCCGACGAGTCGCTTCGCATGGTCCAGCCGTACGTGCCGGCCGACGCCGAGGCCGGGCGGTGGCGGGCGCAGCTGGCCGTGTGCAAGATTGTCAACAAGCGCGACGAGTACGCGCGGCAGCGGCAGCTCAAGGAGCGGCGGCGGGCCGAGGTGGCGACGGGCAAGGGGAAGAGCAAGGAGCTGGAGCTTTCGTGGTCGATTGGCGAGCACGACCTGGCCATCAAGCTGCGGCAGATGGGCAAGTTCCTGGCAAAGGGCATCAGGGTGGAGGTGGCGGTGGTGCGCAAGAGGGGCGGCAAGAGGGCGACGCCCGAGGAGGCGGCCGCGCTGGTCAAGAGGGTCAGAGAGGAGGCGGCGGAGCAGGGCGGCAGGGAGAAGGGGGAGGCGGCGGGGGAGACGCTCAGGACGATGAAGCTTGTGTTTGAGGGCAAGGCGAGCTCATGATTTGTGTTTCTTGAAGAGATGGACCCTGTACTACTAGCTACACGGAGCTACACGGAGCGCATGTGAGAGCCCGAGCATGCGCGCATCTGCCCTTTGGTGTCGAGAAGCTCAAATGCCGGGGGTATCGCCATTCATGATCGTATCGATTGAGTGTTTCCGTCTTCGTCTACGCACAAGGCAAGAGATTATGGAAGACCCGAGAAGACTGCATCTCAAGTCATGGTGAAATGCAGGCCCCCTCATCTACCATGCTCGCGAAGATGCCATTGTTGAAACCCCATTGACATGCCACGGGATGCTCGCTCTCCGTCAAAACTCCAAAACGCCGCGTTCATAATGGGAAATAATAACGTGTCTCAGATCCATCAACAAGTTCAGGCCGTGTCAGAGAATCTCATCTTGGTCGTCGTCTGGCTGTGGCAACGCGGGCGCCGCATCGTTCTTGGCGGCGTCCACGTCCTCATCACCAGTCTCCACGTCAGCTCCCTCGCCCTCGTCATTGTCTCCCCCCCCGAGGGCGTCGAAGGGATTCGCGGCATCGGCGCCGGTCGTGGCCGCCAGCTTGTTGACGTCGTCCCAGGCCTTGCGGCGGGCATTGACGGCGCGCTGGCGGCCGACACTGCGCTGGACCTTTGCGACGGTGCGCTCGCCGACGGCCTCTGCCATCTCGAGGCCCCGTTCGTGGCGGCGGCGGGCGCGGGCCGACAGCTGGCGCTTGCGGACGGGGCGCGACGTCTTTTTCTTTTGCACGGCGGCGGAGCGATGGACGGCGAGGACCGATGGCCGGAGCTGGTGCTGCTGCGAGGGCGGTGCCGAGGCGGGGGCCGCAGCAGAGGAAGAGGCTGCGGCAGAGGCGCGAGGGAGGGAGACTTCCTTGAGGGACTTGTCGGTGTTGATGCTCGGCGACGTGGCCCGGCGGGCGGCGCGCGAATGTTTGGACAGAGCTGGGAGAATAGAGGTTTAGCGCATGGGTTTGGCGATTCGTGGAGGACAGAGGAGGACTGTGTCAATTTGATGCGCAGCGTTGGGCTCCTTACATCTGGTTTTGGCCATTGCGCCGGGGTGTTGCTGCTGTTTGCCTGATGGCAGATGCAAGGGGGAGATATTTTCTCGACTTTTTTGGACTTTTTCGTGGACGCCCCACGCTGACGTTTGACCCCGCCACAGATGCCGCCTTCCCCAGACCAATCGAACCTTGCAAACGACCAAAGAGTCGACGACTTTTTGATTGAAGTGTCCACGAATGGACGGTAAAAGACGATAATCATCTGCCATTGACATCAAAGCCCAGTCTCCGAGGCCTCATCCCTCGACCACGCGACAAGCGCCTGCCCCCGAGCACCCGCTCACAGCTCATCCGGATCTCCAGGCACCCTGGGAGGCTTCTCGATGTCGTCGCCGGGATTGTAGCCCTCGGGGAACGGAAGCCTCCCCGCGGCGACGGTGGTGTACCAGCCCGCATTGTCCAGTGCCCGGTGCACCAGGTGGACGGCCAGCATGTCGCTCCCCGGGGGGCCCATGATGGAGCCGGCAACGGCGCGATATTCCGTGCGCTCGCTGATGCGCGAGTCGTATGGCAGCTGAGCGACTGCCAAGATACTCTGTGAGCACGCACACGGAGCATGGACGGTGGCTTGCTTACATGGGACACTCAGCTGAGGCGCGCGCAGCATCAACGGGAGCAGCTCTGGCGCAAGACTACTCGGCGCTGCGGGTGCACTGGTACGATGAGCGGAAGAGTATTAGCAAAGGGGTCATGGGGTGCAGAAGCGCAATCCTGACCTCGGAACATCGTCCCGGTACCTGGGCGCCTGGCTATTCACCGGCAGGATGACGGCTGTCCAAAAGTCTTCGGTGCGGGAGTGATTCGAGGGCGCGATTCTGTCGTTGAACCACTTACGGAAGACGCCGATCCGGTGCTGGTACGCCTCGTAGTCGTTCCTGGAGACGGCCTTGCCGACTTGCCTGCGAGGAGAGGAAGAGAAGATGGTCAAATCTGTGCGCAGCAAAATGGAGGCTTGGAATCAGTCTGTCGACGCACCATTGGTACTTGGCCGTGGCTTCCATGTATGGCGCGTGCTGGAACTTGGCCTGATAGGCCGCCCTGAACTCGTCGTAGGCGTGGTAGAACTCGTAGCAGAATGAACCAAAGGCGGCCTTGAAACGTATCAGATGAGCGAGCAACAAGACGACAGCAAGGTTCACATACACCCTTCAAGTACTCGCTCAAGGTCTGCTTCTGCGCCTCGGGTGGCGGATTACTTGTCCATGTCGCCGTCATGTTGACCTTGTCGGCTCTGATTCCATTGAGAACCTCCAGAGTCCGCAGAAACTGCGCCGTCAGCTTCTGCTGGTCCTCGGACGCCTCGCCGTCAAACGTGTCGACGGGATAGACCAGTCGCCCTGGAAGAGGCGGGTCCGAGCCTGGGGGCGATTGGTCGAACACTGCCGAGGCCGTGTTGAGGAGCCCGGGCATGTCCCGGCCCACCAGCGCGATCGAGTCGTACGATCTCACGTCTCGGGTTAGAGTTATGGTGTCTCGACGAGCGGATTAGTGGAAGACTCACGGAGAGCCAGACTGAGTCCCATTGAGCGAGACGGCGCCGGGAGTTGTGCGGAGAGTAAAGAGGCCATGAGAAGCGGCCGGTGGCCCTTCAACACCACCAACCCCTACACCGCGCACATCTGTTAGATCTCGGGTTTTGGGAGTATGGCGGGTCATGGGCTCGCACCGTCGAGGCCATACGCGGCCCTCAGCCATGTGTACGCCGCCACGGCCGCCGCCGCACCAGCCGCGCCGCCGCCGGCCGGGCGTTGATAGCCGTCTCCCCGCGGATTCCAGGGCGCCTGCTCGTCGACCCATTCGCGGCCGGCGGCGAGCTGTGACGACTTTGTCTGGCCGACTACGACGGCACCGAGGTCGAGCAGCCGGCGGGCCAGCGGGGCCGTGGCGTCGGCGGGCGACGATGCGTGCAGGGCGTGCCAGGCGCGGCTGGAGAGGGTGGTCGGCACGCCCTGGAGGGAGACGGAGTCGGGGATGGAGACGCGCATGCCGCTGAGGGGCTTGTCGCGGGTCGGGGCTGGGTGATAGAGGCGCGAGGGGACGGCAATGGCCCTGTGAGAGCCTGAGTTGGAGAGCGAGGGGAGGGTGCGAAAGGCGCTGCTGCTGCTGCTGCTGATGATGATGATGCTGGTGAGCAGGCTGCGACGTGCCAGAGGGCTAGCAACTCACCTGGCCGTGAGCTCAGTCACGTTCTCGGGAATGACGCCAAAGGCAAAGGCGCCCGCCTCGTCGTCGTAGAGCCTCCATGCCTGGTACAGGTTCGGGCCGTGGAGGAAGTAGGGGCCAGATGGCAACCTGGCCAGGTCGTTTGCCATGAAGCCCCTGTCATCCTTCTTCGGGCCCATGCCACCGTCCATGAGACGATAGTGGTGCCCCCGCCTATCATGGCTGGCGGAACTCGTGCTGGAGCTCGAGTTGGAGCTGGGCTTCTCGATGAGGACGAAGCCGAAGTCGGGGACAAAGACGTCGTCGCGGCGGTCGAAGCGGCGCAGCGTGTCGTCGACGTTGCCAAAGATCTCGCGCGTGTCGAGCACCGTAACGGGTATGATGGCGTCGGGCTTGATGGTTTCCTGGACGGTGCCCTGGGATGGACGTGTCTGTGAGAATACGCGTAGGGCTGCTTTAACGTGCGTGTACGTACGAGCTTTTCTGGATGGAGGAGGTATTGGCTGCCTGCGACGAGGCACGTCACGAGAGACTTCATGGCTGCTGGGCTCTCAGAGCAGACGATCGACGCTCAAAGCTGGGTGTGGTGGTGCTTGGGAAGGGAGATGAGACAATTGGCCTGCTATAAGCAGTCAGTGAGACAGAGAGACACTTGACGCGGGGCATCAAATCTCGTGCGGCAGCATCGTCGTCGCATCACCAGTGGATAACACGTTACCCACACGGGTGCGATGCGAGCGGCCTCTTGCCAACCGCGAGCAGGAGCGGCTTGAAGCGTAATGATGGTGATGAGGAGGACGGGCGCCTTTGAAGTATCTCCCTGGCGACGGCTGCAGCTTCCCCCTTTCAGTTGCAGCGACCGGAGATGAAGTTACATGTATTGCCTCTTGCTAACTTAATCAAGCGGGTGGCTCCGGAGGAACCCCTTTTACTCAGCTGCCGCTTTCCAGCGTTGCAGCCGCGTCGTGGGATGTTGACGAGTGAGCATCTTGGATACTGCAGGCCCGGATGCCCCTGCGGCAGAGCATCAGTCCTCGGTGCTCCATCTATGGCCGAGATCATGGCTCTATTATGACGTCGGCTCCTAGCGGCCCTGACTCGCGGGCATGAGGAGCCGGCAGGTAGACGATCGTGGCCAGGACTAGACCGGGCCATCGCGGGGGGTTGCAACCAAGCGGACGCTGCTGCTGCCGACATTTCCCTTTTCCGTCCACCTCTCTCTCCTCGCCTCTCTCCAGCTACACGTCCACGACGGCCTTGTCAGCATCGACTTCATTGAACAGGCGGCATCGTGAGACTCAGACACACGCAGCGTTGGTCTGACAGACAACTCTAACTACCATGGCCGAGCCACACAACACCCCCGTCTCCGGCCCGACTCCTCGCCCATCCTCTCCCGTGGACGCCCCCGCCCAGTCCGGTGCCCCCGACCGCCAGCCCTTGGCCGCCCCCGGCGAGCCCCGAGTCGTCCTCCACCTCGGCGACCCCATCCGCTTCAACCCCGACACCCACGCCGCCCTGACCTCGCGCTTTCGCGTCGTCCGCCCCTCGACGCCCGAGCGCCAGCGGCCCCAATTCAAGCAGGCCCTCGCCGAGGGGAAATGGGGCGACTTTGAGGGCATCTTCCGTCCCTTTTGGACGTCGGGAGGTGAGATGGGCGCCTGGGACGCCGACCTGATTAACCTGCTGCCGCCTCGGGTCAAGGTGTTCGCGAGTGCCGGCGCTGGATTCGACTGGGTCGATACGAAGCATCTTGGCGATAGGGGTGAATCACTCCCCTTGACGACCGTCTTGCATTTTGTTCTAAATGGGACGCGGGCTGACACTCGGCGGCGCTCGTCCACAGGCATCGTATACTGCAACGGCGGAGACGCGCCTGCCGATGGCGTCGCCGACTTTGCCGTCGCTATGATCATTTCCACCTTTAGACACTTGCCGTGGTGCATGACGGCCGCCACGTCCGGCAGTGGCCCTCGGTTTCAGGAGTGCCACGAAAAGGCCCCCGGACAGTCTTCCAACCTTAGGGGCCAGGCTCTAGGGATCGTCGGCATGGGCAAAATAGGCCAACGTATCGCCATGCGCTGCCACCACGGCTTCGGTATGAAGGTGCACTATTTTGACGTTGAGCGCAAAGACGCCCGCATCGAGCAAGAATCGGCAAGTACCTTTCACGATTCCCTCCAGGGTCTCCTCGGCGCCGTCGACTGCGCCGTCCTCTGCTCGCCCGCCAGCACAGGGGCCGGGGCCCTCATCAACGCGTCCACGTTGGCCCAGTTTCGCCCCGGCGCTCGCTTCGTCAACATTGCGCGCGGCGCCCTCGTCGACGAGGACGACCTCGTGGCCGCCCTCGACGACGGCCGCATCAGCTCCGTCGCCCTCGACGTCCACGCCAATGAGCCGCACCCCCACGAGGGCCTGAAACAGCTCGCCGCCCGGGGGCGCGCCATGCTGACCTGCCACAACGCCGGCGGAACGGTGCAGGCCCATGCTGGCTTTGAGGAGCTGAGCATGCGCAATGTCATGAACGTCTTGTCCGGTGGTCAGCCGCTCTCGGCCGTCAACCTGGGGCACCTGAAGACTGGACGTAAGCAGTCTGGAGCGGCCAAGGGGCTGGGAGAGGTGAAGCGGTGACAGGGTGTTGATGAAGAAATCTAGGGCGACGGGTTGAGCAGGTTGACGTGCCGAGCTCGAGCCTGTCTTGGTCTGTTGTGTCTGATGTATGTATATTGATTCCCTGGGCTGAGCATAACCGACCCACTCCCTGCCTGTATGAGCTTTGAGGCTTTTCGCACTATCCACTCGATTTCTACCCGATGAGCTGCTGATTTGTAATTCAACCACGCAGTCGATCTGGAACTGCGGGATTCGTTTAGACTTTCATACGCGGCTCAATCGCTGCGCGATGCCCTGCATCACTGCCTCGAATTGTTGTAGACAAACTCCACGCAGCGCCAGGCTTCCACAAGCGGGAAAAACAAACAAGCTCAAGTTCACGCTTGCCGATTGCACATAATATCAACTTGCTCACGCCTTTGGCTTCTTCCTCACCAACCCGGAACCCAGCGTGTTGACCGCAGGCTGCTTCTCCTGGCCCTGCTCCGCTCCCGACTTGTTGGTCTCCCAACCCTTGACTGGCCGGGTCCCGCTTTCGGTCGTGTCTGTTCTCTTCCTCTTAACGAGTCCGGACAAGTTGTTTGCCTGGGTAGACGTCTGGCCGGCTGCGCTATCCTGGGAAAAGGATGACGGCTCCCTGGTTCCCGTCACCTCGAGACCCCAAAGGCTACCCGTTCCCGCCTCGCTAATCCAGCGCCTGGAGCTGCCCGTGGCCTTGTCCAGGGTGGCAAAGTCGAGGTGTAAAAGTAGCTCCACGGTCCGTCTGTAGCCGCTCTCGTCGACAATCCTCTCGCCCCGGCCTTCAGGTGGCCAGAAATAGTACTTACTCGACGTCGGCCGGTCAAGGAGATAGTTTCGCTGTTCAGTCTTGACGCGCGGCCGGCGGGACGTGATTTGTCCCTTCAACTGCTTCTTTTGTTTCTTGCCTTTCTTCTTGTCACTGGTCGACTTGGGCGGCTCCCTGGCGGCAGAATCAGCCTTGGATGGAAACAACTTCCTCGGTGTTGTATTTGGCGTCACGTCAACGCTCGTCCTCTTCTTCAGGGGTGTTTCAGGCGGTTCAAGAGCTGACTCTGCAGTGCCGCGCGGAGCCTCGGTCCTGTCGGCGTTGTCGTCAAACACGATCCATATGAAGCCAGTCATCCTCCCGCTCGAGCATTCTTGGCGGAAGCCCATGACCTCCCAGAAGGTGTCGAGGGTCTTGACGCTCTTCCAGGTGCCCAGCGTCTGCATCGAGCCGGATTGAGCCGCCTCCTCGTCAAGCTCGTCGCGGAATCGGGACTTGGGATCGTCGGGAAATCGGGGTATCAGGCATCGTGGGGGCACCCAATCGAACTCTCGGTAGTAGTGCGAAATGCGCTCGAGGGGATGGCCGAGGAACCAAGAAGAGGCGGCAGCCGAAGAGCGAGGGATGAAAGCACGAGTCTCGTGAGCATCGAGCCCGGGGATCACCAAGTAGCCTTTGACGCTCCTCCATGGCGGGGCTGCATCGCCGACCGGGGAGGACGTGAGGAGGGGATCGAGCACACTACACCACCACTTAACGAGGCCCCGGTCATCGAGAACGTGCTTGCCGCTGTGCTTGACGCTTCCTGGAAAGAGATATTGGTCCTGGGCACGAGCAAACAAGCTCACGACGAGCTGTACGCCCCTGCGCCGCCTCGTCTCCACAAGGTGCCCGATGAAACCGGCGCAGACTTGTCGGATGGGGCTCGGGGTTCCCGGGGCCAGGCCGAGGAGGCAGAGAAAGCCGGTCGAGTCGGCCTTTGAGACGAAGAGGGTAGTGACGTAGGCAGTCGTATATACGAAGATTTCTAGGCCCAAGACCAAGACGTGCTTGGGGGCTAGACCAGCTTGAGAATCCGAGGAAGCAGAGGCGGCATTGGCCTTGACGGACACGGTCAGGAAGTGCTTCTCGCAATATGTTCGGTCAGGCCGCTCGTCTGGAGGCGCGGAGTAGAGCGCATCCGTCTGCAAGGGCGGCGTCGAGAGATGGTGGAAGCGAAAGTGGCAGCCTGCGGGGAGCACGGTGGCTAGCTTGGTGCGCAGGCTGCTGCTGCCAGCCGTGGAGTCTGCCGAGACTGCCATGGCCGCCAGATTGAGCCTGTCATTGATGAGCAAGCGAATCGGCGCGAGGAGAGGAAGCTTGGGAGTGACAGGGCGGCGAGGATGGCGGACTAAAGTTACGGCCGAAGTAATGGCTGCCGCCCACGTGCTAGCTGACCTAATGCGAACCTTGGAGCATCACCATCCCTTTGGCAGTGCGAAGGGAGCCCCCAGGTCACGGGCCCCATAGTACGTAGCTATATTATAGATACATATTTAGGGACGCGCGGTATTAGTAAAACATTTAGCAGCTTATTTAATACCTATGTAATTAATTCTAGGAAAGCTCTATAGTTTTATAATAAGATCTAATAGCTTTCTTAGAAGCTATTTTAGCTATTAATACTTTTAATAAGTATTTATTTATATAAATTAACTACTATTAGCTTAAGTAAGCTATTAATAGTATAGTCTAGCTTACTTTTAGTAAGGTACTAATATTACGCTTCTTACTATACTAAAGTATAAGCCTTAAATACTAAAGCTTTTATTACTAGTTATTAAGTTTTATATTAAGAAAGTAAGTATAAATTATATTATCTTACTTAAAATAAGGGAGTTTATTAATATAACTATTATATACTAGTCCCTTAGTATAAAGCTAGTACTTAACTATACTATTTACTTAGATTAAGTATAAGTTATATAAGTAAATAGATAGACTAGCTACTAAATATACTTAAATATATTATATAAACTAGCTATTATATATATATATATATATATATTTAATTTATACTAAGGCTATAAGGGCTTTGCTCTTTATAGGCCTAGACTAGGGTCTAAGCTAAGCTTATATATAAGCGGCCCCCGCGCCTATATAAGCTAAGCTTATACTTCTCTTTCTTTTCCCTTTTATAGATTATTAACCTTCTTCTTATAGACTATATATAAGCCTATACCTCTATATACTCTATAATAGTATAATCTACCTTTTATTTAACCCTCTCTATATCTTTATATATATAATAGCTATTATAGCTACCTTTAAAGCTAATATTTAATTACTTAGTTTAGTTAAACCGCTTATACTATTATAATATATAGCTTAATTTTATAGTTCTTAGAGATATCCCTTAGTAAGAGGGACCTAGGAAGCTAAAAATACCGGTATAAAAGAAGGAAGAAGGAGCTAAAAAGAGGTATAGAAAAGAGGGTAGGAGTATAAGGGGAAGTAAAATTAGCGATAGCTTCTTATAAAGGTAGTAAGAGATAAGATAGATATACTATTATAAAGTAGGTAGAGGTATATATATAGGTACCGTCTATAAAATAATATTAATAAGCTATATAGAGCTCTCTTATACGCGGCTAGCCTATATATATATATATAAGATCCGGCCCTTTATACGTAACTATATAGCTTAGGCTATAGCCTAAGCCTATAACCTATAATAGTTAAAGACTCTTATATAATGCCCTCCTTTAAGCGCGGCGTAGTATTACTTAATTAATAGCTTCTATACTATTAGGCCTATACCGCTAGCTTTATCCTACCCTTTCCCGTTAATCGTACTAGCCTTACTAGCCCTATTATCCCCGCGCCTATTAGCCTAGGTAGCTAGAACTAAGCTCTATACTTATTAGCTAGCTAGCCGTTTAAATAAGGGCGCAACTTATTATATACGCCCCTAGGTAGCCGGCGGCTAGCCTAGACCTATATAAGCCTTAGGTTACTCGTCCCCTTAGCCTTAAGCAGCCTCCTTTACCTAGGGGTATATAAGGCGGTATCCCCCCCTTTCTTTTTTCTTTCCTTCTACTCCTTCTTTAACTATAGTAGTAATAATAATAAGTAAGTTCTACTCTACCTAAGGCATTAGTTTATTCCTAGCTATATAGGCCGCTTTATTAATATATACTTATAGTAGTAGCTATAATAGTAATAATAGCCTTAATAATAATAACTTTAACTAATAAGTTCTTTGCCTTATAAAGTAGGAGGCCGTAATCTATAATATTAACTTCCGCGATAGATATATCTACCTTCCCCTCCCCTACTTTCTCTTTCTTAGAGCGTATAGAGTCGTTCGTCGACGCTATACTAGGCATGGCCGATAACGGCTCCGCCGCTACCGCTGCTCCTACCTACGCCCCTACGACCGCGCCTACCACCGCCGCCTCTACCTCTACTACGCTAGCCGCCCTTACGTTGCCTTTCCGGGTAACGACGCCGTCCCTACCGCCGGCTATAACGCCTAGCCCCTTTACCCCCGCCTCCGCCTCTACTACCCCTATAAGTCCGCTACTTAGTAAGCGTAGTAGCTATTTTCCGCTAACTTCTTAAAGTATAAACGCTAAGTATAGGCTAGAGCCGCCCGCGCGGCCCTTTATATATAGTACGCGTTATAGGAGCTCCCTTACGCCGACTAAGTTAGGCGCCGCTATAGCGGTAGTTATTACTAGTATACGCGTACCGGCCGCGCCTATAAGGCGGCGCCTCTCGTCTTACTCGCTACGGCGTCGGCTTAAAAGGCTAGCGCGTATAGGTAGGCACGGGGGGCTACTAAGAAGCGCCTTACCGCCGCCGCCGCTACCTACTATAATCTCCGCGCCCTTAAGCGCTAGGGCCTCGTCCTTAAGTAAGTTCCTCTCTTTTAGCTCTTTTACTTCTACTACTAACTCTCTTAGTACTAGGGATACTACCTCTATCGCTTTATTAGCGGTCCCCTTAGCTATGCCCGCCGCCGCCCCCGCCGCTACTACTAGCTAGGCCCCCCCCGCCCCTAGAGCCCTTAGAGCCGCCGCTACCGCCGACTAGCTCGTAGGCCTAGAGGGCCGCTTAAGCGCCTTAGAGAGCGCCGCCGCCGCTAATAAGGTAAAGGAGGATAATAAGGATAAGGATAAGGACGACGATAAGAATAAAGAGTAGGTTTAAGTAGTCTAAGGGCTTTACCTTAAAATAAACGCTATTTTTATCTCTACTTATATTATTACGCTTATATTATCGTAACTACTTACTCTACTTTACTTACTTTATAGTCTTAGCTTAAGCTATTATTAGTAGTCCCTTAGTTTATTATTCTTATTTACTATTTTAAATAAGGCTTTAAACTTATTAAGGGCTATAGTTCCTATAAACTTATATATAGGTTCTTATATAAGGTTAAGATACCTATACTACTTAATAAGGACCTCTTAGCGTTTCCCCCTATTAACCTTTTTCTAGCGCGCGGCCTATATCTTTTTAACCTTAAACTCGTTCTCTCCCTCTACCTTAATTATAGGCGGTTAAGCGTCCGCTACTTTTTATCTAAGTAATAAGTTAAAGGAGGCTCTATAAAAGAGGTCTATATTAATCTTATTATAGACCCCTATTAAGAAACTATTAAGCTCTATAACCTATAGGCTAATAACCCTCTATACTATAAACTTTATATATAGCTAATTAAGCTTCTTTTTTAACTATACTAACCTATAGTTATAAAGGTCTAGCTATACCTTATCTCTTACTATAAACCTATCTACTAAGGCCCTAGTCTTACTAGCGTACTACTCTTAATCTTATACCGCGGCGGCTATTATAGATTAGTAATAATTTATAGTCTCTTATAGCTTTTATATAAATATAAAAGTGCGGCCCTTTAGTAATAAATTACTATACTACTCCGCTACTATATCTATAGTAAAGGGAACTAATAAGGGTAGTTTAAAGCTATATATTATAAAGAAAGGGGCTATCTTAATAAAGGTATATAGTCTACTATTTAACGTAAGTTAGGCTATAAGGAGCTACCGGTCTTAGTCTACTTAGTTATAGGCTATAATAGCTCGTAGGTAAGCCTATACTTCTTAGTTAACCCTCTTAGGCCCTTTATTAGTCTATAGGTAATATACCGTGCTAAGTAGCTATATAATCTAAAGTAGCTAGTATAGGTACTATTAAAAGTAGCTAGTTTAATTCGATCCCCTATCGCTTATAATAGAGGCTAGCTAGCTATATAAGCGGGCCTAGTACTATAAGAAGCGCTCTACGTAGGACTCTATATCTATAAACGGTATCGGCTCTAATACTATAGACTTACTAAGTCGGTCCTTAATTACTTATATATAGTAGTTACTGCCCTCTATAAGTAGGAGGTCCGTTATAAAGTCTATCTATTTATACGTATAGAACCGGTCGGGTACCGGAAGCTACTTAAGCAGCCCCTTAAGCTATACCCTTTAAATCTTAGTATAGCTATAAATATCTCTAAAGGTATATAAGTAAAAGCGGAATTTTAGGAAATTAAGGAATTATATAAGACTACGTAATAAAGGGGAAGACGGAGTATAAGGTAGGATTTTCAACGGAATTTATTAGTAGTATATTAGTATATAGAAGAGGTGTTAAAGTTAATAATTCTCTATCTATCTACTAGTAGACATGCTATCTTATATAGATAATTATAGCTAAACGGAAGAACCTTTAGGGACTAGATTTAGGCTGCCGTATAGCCCTAAGACTAAGAAATTCCGTAATACCTCGAGTAAATCTAGAAGTGTCTTAGTTCCACTAATATTCGTGTTTAAAGGAGGTTATCGTGCCGGTGTTCTTAAGAGGTCTTAGCTAGCATTCTAAGCTAGCTCTATTCCTTCGATTCCCGATTATATAATAACCGGCAACCCGTTTAATATATAATAACATATAAAATAACGAGCGATTCTTGCTCTATAGGATAAGATTTTATCTATAATTAATATACTACTTATTAGTTTATATAATCGGGAGAGTATATTATAGCTGCTTTATTTATAGTAGGAACACCGTTCCTTATATAAGTATAATAGAGATCCTATTTCTTTCTAAAATTATAATATATCTTCCTTAGAAGGTAATTCCTTTACTTTTATAAGCTTAAAGCCTACTATAGTAGGTAAATTCGAAGTTCTTAAACCTTCTTTATTAAATTCCTTTAATTTATTTAAGGTATAATTTTCTTAGGATATATATAGCTCTTTATTTTCTCGGTTTATTATAATATTTAGACCTAAGAAGTCTTTTA